GTAAATGTACAACAAATGGAACTACTGGTTGTTATGTGATGAAAATACTTAATAATTTTTTACTCTTGCTAGTGGAGCAAGTACAGCTACAAATCTATCAACTTTATCTTCAGATAATTGTTCTTTGTTTTTTTGATATACGTATATTAGGAATGCATCAACAGGCAAATATATATATTGGAGGATATTGTGATTTTTAAAGATTAAAGCCAGCTTATTAAAGACTTTCCCTACTTTAATAAGGTAATTTAAATATTTACTCTATAGAATTTAAATAACTAAATTTAACTTATAATCTTTGATAAAGTAATTTTAATATATCAAATTAATGTATTTATTTTTGCTGGATTTGTTCAAATTAGTGTAATTGTGGATCAATTAAATATCTAAATTTATCATTTTTGTATGCTTTTCAATTAACAAACTTTTCCTTTTTAATTCAACTTAACAAAAAGCAATTTTTATTAGAAAAGATAATTAATATTCAAGGTAGATATTATTTAATAGTACTTTAAGGAGTAAAACTATAAAAGTGTTAATTAAATGCAAATACATTATATAAACACATTCCTTAGATTTTAGTTATTTGAATAGAGAGTTAATAACATATTATCTATAATAATAATTTTTTTGTAAATTTTGATACCTCTCTTTTATCATTTTACAATATAAATTTATTACTAACATAAAGAAATAAATAAATGAATTTAACAGTTATGGGATGATTTCTAAGTAGTGATTTCATACATTCCTTCGATATTTTGAAAAATAAGTCCATAATCTTTATAATAGATGCCTTTCTGTCCATTATCATTATGGCTTAAGATATCATATATATTAATAAAATTTACCATATATAAAATATTATACTATAATATTCTATGTCATAGTATTCCAATCTGATATTATATAACTAAGAATATCAAAAAAAGCCTATAAGTTCCATATCTTTAAATATCTCCAATATTAACCAACATTTTATAGGTATCTATTGATATTTTTGGGTTTCACTTGAATGAATAATAATAAGGATTTATTATAGCACATAATCCTTAACACAAAAAATATAAGATTCATCTCAAAGTAATATTATGATTTTATTTGGACAGCAAATACAAAAATATCTCAAAATTTAACAAGTCAAATAGAAACAACCTCAAAATCATTTTACTAATTAAGTACCATAATGGGATAAGAGCATTATGGGCTTAATTATAGGCATAAATAACAAGATTTAATATTAATATTAAAAAGTTATTACTTTCTATCCTTTTTTGTACTCTATTTTTAGTAATAAACGTGCTAAAATGCCAAAAATTTATCAATAGAAAAATTGATTATTATTATTAATGTTATATTAACAATAAGATTATAATTTTCTAATTTATTCAATTAAGAATCATGATTTATTGTATGATTATAAGAACATCTTGTTCTAATTAAATATAAACTAATAAAAATCTAATGTATCTATGAAAACAAATTTAGCTTAGCTTAAGAGAATGATTTTTACATTTATCAAATGAAAAATATATTTACAATTCGTTATATAATTGATTCTCAATAAGAGTAGATAATAGAATGTATATTGAAAATAGTTTTAGGAAAACCTTGGGTCTAGTGTTTCTTGACTTACTTTATATATATAAAGAATGAGATAATAGCTTATAATTTCATTTGTATAAGTAAATATAAAAAAAGGAAAATAAATATTTTAATCATTTTAATTTCCTAAAATTTCACCTAACAAAATTACTTTGATAATATCAAGGAATTACTTATTAACTATAAAGTACCTATTTTAAAAATAAAGAATACTTCCCTTTAATTTATGAATTTGATTAATTTTATTAATCTTTAACAAAAGTTAATATGAAACAAAAAAAAAATATACTGAATATTTTTAATATCTTATATAAATAATATGATAGAAGATATAGTTCTTCTCATTACTGTTAATCAATATTCATTTATAGATTGGGAATTAGAATCCAAAGATGAGGATTCTTTGTGTCTAATTACTACATTTTTTTACTTTATGGTGCTTTTGAGATTTTATATTTAATTTGTAAAATTTCATTAATCCCATCTAACACTTATAAGAGGATGATTGTTTAACTCAAAATTGAATAAGAAAAATTAACAGTTATTCTCAATATTTTGAAAGCTAGAAAATAAAATATTTAAAAACATCAAGTGTTAGAGAAGAAAATTTATTACTAAGTATTTATGAAACCTTAATAATCACAAAGTAGCTGCTTTCTCTTTGATGAACAGGTCTAATCAGTAAGCTAATCATTTTTTGCACAATTTTATTTTTATTTTCTTAAATATTTTAATAGTGGTCCAAATTCAAGAGAGTTGAAATATTTAGATATAAGAACAGCTTATTTGATTTTCATCAATAAATATAAATCTTTCTAGGTACAGCAACATTATACAAGAATTTCAGTATTATTCTAAATATCAATATGACGTAAAAAAGTATTTCAATAACAAAGAAAGAATTAATCAATTAAAATTATGCTCTCATATCCAGGAAAGAATAGAAAATAAACCATCCCATTTAATTTCCATGTAATANTCTATGAAAACAAATTTAGCTTAGCTTAAGAGAATGATTTTTACATTTATCAAATGAAAAATATATTTACAATTCGTTATATAATTGATTCTCAATAAGAGTAGATAATAGAATGTATATTGAAAATAGTTTTAGGAAAACCTTGGGTCTAGTGTTTCTTGACTTACTTTATATATATAAAGAATGAGATAATAGCTTATAATTTCATTTGTATAAGTAAATATAAAAAAAGGAAAATAAATATTTTAATCATTTTAATTTCCTAAAATTTCACCTAACAAAATTACTTTGATAATATCAAGGAATTACTTATTAACTATAAAGTACCTATTTTAAAAATAAAGAATACTTCCCTTTAATTTATGAATTTGATTAATTTTATTAATCTTTAACAAAAGTTAATATGAAACAAAAAAAAAATATACTGAATATTTTTAATATCTTATATAAATAATATGATAGAAGATATAGTTCTTCTCATTACTGTTAATCAATATTCATTTATAGATTGGGAATTAGAATCCAAAGATGAGGATTCTTTGTGTCTAATTACTACATTTTTTTACTTTATGGTGCTTTTGAGATTTTATATTTAATTTGTAAAATTTCATTAATCCCATCTAACACTTATAAGAGGATGATTGTTTAACTCAAAATTGAATAAGAAAAATTAACAGTTATTCTCAATATTTTGAAAGCTAGAAAATAAAATATTTAAAAACATCAAGTGTTAGAGAAGAAAATTTATTACTAAGTATTTATGAAACCTTAATAATCACAAAGTAGCTGCTTTCTCTTTGATGAACAGGTCTAATCAGTAAGCTAATCATTTTTTGCACAATTTTATTTTTATTTTCTTAAATATTTTAATAGTGGTCCAAATTCAAGAGAGTTGAAATATTTAGATATAAGAACAGCTTATTTGATTTTCATCAATAAATATAAATCTTTCTAGGTACAGCAACATTATACAAGAATTTCAGTATTATTCTAAATATCAATATGACGTAAAAAAGTATTTCAATAACAAAGAAAGAATTAATCAATTAAAATTATGCTCTCATATCCAGGAAAGAATAGAAAATAAACCATCCCATTTAATTTCCATGTAATAGTACCATTCAATAAAAAATAGAATATACCTGTAATAATCTCTTTGTAATATAATTCATTAAATTCCATTGATATCATCACAACTTTTCATACAAATAAAAAGGAGAAGCATTTTAGTATTTCTTTTATAAAATTAGTTTTAGGAACCTTTTTGAATTTTATTTTGATTTAGAAAGAATTTTTTTTCAGTACTCTTAAAAAGGCTTTATTGAATAATTTGAGTTTAAGCAAAGAATAGACTTGACAAATGCAAGCCTATAATTGATGGATTAGAAAAAACTAAAAAACCTTTTTGAAAGTATTTTAGGTAAGCTAACAAACCTAAATTTGGTAAGAATGAAAAAACAAAAAAATAGACCAATGTTTACATCCTAAAGGTATTAGCTTCTCAAAATTTATTTTAATAAAAAAGAAAAAATTAGTACAAATAATTTAATTTATAAAATATAATTAAAACGAAAATTTTAGAATCCTTAAGATTTCCAATTAAAAAGGTACAGATCTAAGAATGTAATGAATCCAGTATTCTACATCTAATTCCCAACCAAAAATTTAACATGAAAAAATATAAAAGAACTAAGAATGGTAAAATAAATAAATTTTAAATAATGCTTTTTCATATTATTGTTTCATCTTCTTTCTTTAGAATTGAGTCTAAAGTGGATTAGTAATTACTATTTGGGTTTTAATTCTACAGTTCTGGAGTAATTTTACATTAAGGAAGAAATTGTGGCTTTATAAATTTCTGAATTTGAAATCACAAAAATGATATCTAAGTTGACAAAATTTCTTAGAAACTCAATATAAATATAGTATTTACAACAAAAGAGATTTCTTTCTAAGTTAGGATTGAAAATGAACTTTTTCTTTCATCATCTTCATCTTTATCCCTTATCATTTTATTTTACCTCTCCTATTTTCTTAAAGGAGGCAAGAATAACATTGTATAACAATAATTATTACTCATACTTAAGTTTTAGCTCTATTCTGTCTTTCATCTAGAAACAGGACAATATATAAACAAAAAAACTTTGAAAAATTGTGTTTTAACATAAATTTAAACACTCTTCACAACTAATATTAACCCATGCTGATATTGTATCATTACGAAATTCCCATCCTCCTCCTCATCCTCCTTGAAAATCATATAATATAAATATTAATGATGATAATTAATTCAAATAATAAATACTGGACTGATATCTAATCATAATTTAGGGTGTATTTAATATGAAAAAATAATTTAATTTTTTATTTATTAATTTAACTGGAATGAAATCATACTATTTAAATAATACTTTTAATGAATAAATAATTCATCATATTTGCATTGTTGCTTGTCTTAGCAACAAGTCAAACTTATAGTATAACATCATGCTCATGCGTATAGTTGTTATCAGAAGCAGATTGTTTAAAAAATGTTTCACTTGGATGTTCTTGGGATAGCACAAAGAAATCTTGTGCAGTTTCAACTACTCCCGTCACTCCAACTGTGACTTTTGCAACATATTGTGAAAGCTTTGCAGAAGCAGATTGTCCAAAAGCTAAACCTTGCACAGATTGTGGTAATTATGCTGCCTGTGCCTGGGTTGGAGGAAAATGCACACATTTCACAGGATGCACAGCCTTTTCAAAAACAACAGACCCTGAATGTTAAGCAATAAGTAATAGATGTATTACAGATGGAACTCATTGTGTTGAACTTGATGCTTGTAGCACATACAAGAAACAACTTCCTTGTGTCAAAAATTCATCAGGAAGCTTGTGCTATTGGGATACAACAAATAATACTTGTGTAGATGCTAATAATTGTGATAGATTACCAATTACATTTGTTACAGATAAAGAATGTAGAGATGTGATATCAACTTGTACTACAAAGACTGGAGGTGGATGTGTTGATAGTGGAAATAATTGTAGTGATTAAACATTAGAAATTTAATGTGTTTGGAATAAATTAAGATCAATGGCATGTTATTGGGATGGAGCAGCATGTAAAGATAGAATTTGTGATAATGCACCAACAACATTGACAACTGATGAAACATGTAAAACCTTTAGAACTGATGGAACATGTACAACTAAAGCTAATGGAGGATGCGTTACTAGAACTACTTGTGCAGCTGCAACTATCTAAGCTGCTTGTATTAAGAATAGTTCAGGTGGTGATTGTTATTGGACTGGAAGTGCTTGTGTTGATAAGATATGTACAAATGCACCTACTACTATGACAACTAATTCAGCTTGTGCTGGATTTGTAACAGGATGTATTACTAAATCAGGTGGAGGTTGTGTATCTAATGGAGCTTGTTCAGCTGCAAATGTCTAAGCAGCTTGTGTTAAAAATTCATCAGGAACTGATTGTATTTGGGATACAACATGCAAAGAAAAGACTTGCGCTAATGCACCAACAACTAATAATACTCATGAATTATGTTCATCATATTTACCAACATGTACAGTTAAAGCAGGAGGTGGATGTTAACCTAGAAGTTGTACAAATGCTCCAACAACATTAACAACAAATGATGCATGTGAAGCATATTTACCAAATAATAATTGTATAACAAAGACAGGAGGTGGATGTGTAATAAATACTACATGTTCATTAATTACTTTAGAAGCTGCTTGTATCAAAAATGTTTATGGAGCTACTTGTTTCTGGGATACTGCAAGTTCAGGCTGCAAAGATAAGATTTGTACAAATGCTCCATCAACTAATAATACTCATGATTTATGTGTTGCCTTTTTATCAACCTGTACAGTAAATTCAACAAATGCTGGTTGTGTAGAGAAAACATGTGAAAATTCATTGGCATAAACAATTTGTGATAAAGATTTGAATAATAAAGCCTGCATTTGGAAAGGAAAATGTTATAAAAAAGAATGTGTACTAGCTTCATCAGCCTCAGCAACCCATACAGATTGTTAAAATTATGATTCAAGTTGTACTTTGAGTAATACTGGTGCTGGATGTGTTCCAATACCTCTTAAATGTGAAGCCTATACAATTGAATCTGCATGTAATGTGAGATTATAAGTTACAAACGGAGTTAAATCATACTTACCATGTGGTTGGAATGGTTCATAATGTATTGATAAAGCCTGTTCAACTGCTTCTAGATCATTTACAACAACTGATGAATGTGATAGTTACAAATCAGGTTGTGTTGCCAATAATCCAGTGAATGGAACAATTTCAGGATGCTAAGATTTACCAACAACTTGTGCTGCTAGAAGATCAACAGAAAATTGTTAAATCTCAAGAAATGGATTACCAACATGTTTATGGAATACTGCTACATCTGCATGTGTTGAGAAGACTTGTGCAACTGCTAATGTTACAACAACTCCAGGATTCTTAGTAGCTTTTAATAATACAACTTGTTCTGGTTATTTAACTAATAGTTGTATAGCCAATAATACAGCTGATAATTGCATTCCAAAACCATCAAGTTGTAATAATTTGGTTTTAGCAAATTGTTAACGAGGATCAAAAGCTAATGGAGATTGTTATTGGAATGGTAGTAGTTGTGTTGATAGAATTTGTACAAATATTTCTTCAAATACTCATATTGGTTGTTAAAATGTTTTGAATACATGCACAGTTAATAATGGTAGAACAGCTTGTTAAGCATTAGCTACTGCTTGTACTTCTTATGGATCAGCTGAAAATTGTGTAAAAATTGCTAGTGGAAAAAGTTGCATATGGACTGGATCAGCTTGTAGAAATGCAACTTGTGCAGATGCATCAGATAGTGCTGATTTTGATGATGATAGCGAATGTTCCGATTATCCTAGTCCTACTGAAACTTGTACAGTTATAAACAAAACAAGAGGATTAGGATGTGTGACAAGATTACCTAATTGTAGTGACTATGGTTCGGAAGCATAATGTGTTAGAACTTCAACAGCCAACTCAGATGATTGCATTTGGAAATCACTCTATACCAAATGCTTTTCTCTCACATAACTCCAAAATTCTTGTTCAACATTTACAGGAAGACAAGATTAATGCGAATCTATTAAAAGAGGTTGTACTAATACTGGAAGTGCTACAGAAACAGATTCATGCACATTTTCTTGTGCTGCCGTAACTGGATTATCAAATGCTACACATTCAGATTGCTAAGCAGAATCTCCTTCTTGTACTGTGAATGCTGCTGGAACTGCTTGTGTTACACTATAAGCAGCTTGCAGTAGTTATGCAGTATCAGGTGATTGTGTAAGAAGAACAGATGGTACAAGATGTCATTGGGGTGGTAGTGCTTGCGCAGATTTTGTTGCCGCAAATTGTGCTTCAATCACAGGATTAACAGGTGCAACTCATACAACTTGTTAAGGATATCACTCTACTTGTACAATCAATGTTGCTAAAGATGCATGTGCAGAGTAAAAAGCAGCTTGTAGTGATTATGTTTAAACTACTTGTACTTTTACAACTGGTGGTACAAGATGTCATTGGGGTGGTAGTGCTTGTGCAGATTTTGTTGCCGCAAATTGTGCTTCAATCACAGGATTAACAGGTGCAACTCATTCAACTTGTTAAGGATATCACTCTACTTGTACAGTCAATGTTGCTAAAGATGCATGTGCAGAGTAAAAAGCAGCTTGTAGTGATTATGTTTAAACTACTTGTACTTTTACAACTGGTGGTACAAGATGTCATTGGGGTGGTAGTGCTTGTGCAGATTTTGTTGCCGCAAATTGTGCTTCAATCACAGGATTAACAGGTGCAACCCATTCAACTTGTTAAGGATATCACTCTACTTGTACAGTCAATGTTGCTAAAGATGCATGCGCAGAGTAAAAAGCAGCTTGTAGTGATTATGTTTAAACTACTTGTACTTTTACAACTGATGGTACAAGATGTCATTGGGGTGGTAGTGCTTGTGCAGATTTTGTTGCCGCAAATTGTGCTTCAATCACAGGATTAACAGGTGCAACTCATTCAACTTGTTAAGGATATCACTCTACTTGTACAGTCAATGTTGCTAAAGATGCATGTGCAGAGTAAAAAGCAGCTTGTAGTGATTATGTTTAAACTACTTGTACTTTTACAACTGATGGTACAAGATGTCATTGGGGTGGTAGTGCTTGTGCAGATTTTGTTGCCGCAAATTGTGCTTCAATCACAGGATTAACAGGTGCAACTCATTCAACTTGTTAAGGATATCACTCTACTTGTACAGTCAATGTTGCTAAAGATGCATGTGCAGAGTAAAAAGCAGCTTGTAGTGATTATGTTTAAACTACTTGTACTTTTACAACTGATGGTACAAGATGTCATTGGGGTGGTAGTGCTTGTGCAGATTTTGTTGCCGCAAATTGTGCTTCAATCACAGGATTAACAGGTGCAACTCATTCAACTTGTTAAGGATATCACTCTACTTGTACAGTCAATGTTGCTAAAGATGCATGTGCAGAGTAAAAAGCAGCTTGTAGTGATTATGTTTAAACTACTTGTACTTTTACAACTGGTGGTACAAGATGTCATTGGGGTGGTAGTGCTTGTGCAGATTTTGTTGCTGCAAATTGTGTTGCTATCGCAGGATTATCAAGTTGGAATCACTCTGTCTGTTAAGCATATCATAATTCTTGCACAGTTAATATTGGTGGAACTGCATGTTAAGAATTAAAAGCAGCTTGTGGTGATTATGCTAATTCATCTGCATGTACAAGAATCACTAGTGGTTCGAGATGCTTTTGGGATGTTAGTGGTGGTTCTGGTGTATGTATAGAAATTACATCATCAAATTGTGCTTCTGTTACAGGATAAGTAGCTGCAACTCATTCAACATGTTAGGCATATCATTCTGCTTGTCTTGCAAATCTTGCTGGTACTGCATGCTTAGCATTTACAACATGTGAAGCTATCACAGGCTCAAATCTAACTTGGGATAGATGTTAAGGTTATAGTGCTACATGTAGCGTAAGGAGAGATGGAAACGGTTGTATAACTATATAACCTTAATGTTCAGGATATACAACAATAACCAGTTGTTATAGATCAACTGCTGGATATTGTACTGCTAATAGCGCTGATAGTTCCTGTTCATCTATAACAGCTTCTACTACTTGTGAAGCAATAAAATTAGGAGCATCATTTACTTTTAATGATGCAATATGCAATGAATTGAAAACAGGTTGTATAGCATTAAACACTTCAGGATGTTAAACTAAGACTTGCGCTAGTAAAACAACACCATTTACTCATTAAGCTTGTAATGCTTGGTTGAATACTTGTACTGCAAATTTAGTTACATCACCAACTGCATGCGTAGCCTTGCCAGCCACATGTTCCACTTTGAATGTAGCCGCATGCGTTTGGGCAGTTGAAGGGGAATGTGTTGTCTCAGGTTCAACTTGTATCAAAAAGACTTGTGATACAGCTGCATCAGACACCAACTTTAACACACATGATGAATGCTTTACATATCTATCTACATGCACAGTTGCAAGATTAGGAGGTTGTTAACCAAGAGCTGCTTGTTCAACATATAAATCAAGTAATTAATGCAGATTCAATACAACTGGTGGTAGATGTTTCTGGAATGCAACAAATAAGACTTGTGTTGATTTCAGTTGTGGAAATATTGAATAGACATCTTTATATGATACTCATTCTAAATGTTCATCAGCTGATTCAACATGTACAGTTAGAGCTACTAATGGAGCTGCTGTCGCTGGTTGCATGGCTAGAGGAGCATGTAGTTCTTATTAAATTGAGGATTAATGCAACAGAAATGCAACTGGAGGTGTTTGTGTTTGGAATACAAATTTAACCTAAGCAGCTTGTTAAGATAAATCATGCACAACTGCTCCAACTGCAACAGCCACACACGACGATTGTAATACTTATTTCTTCACAGGTTCTATTAGATGCACAGTAGTTGCCACACCAGATGCTAATGGTGGCGCACCAACTCTAGGAGGTTGTCAATAAACAGCAGCTTGTGCTACTTATATACATTAAGAATAATGTAAATTCAATGCTACTGGAGATGCTTGTGGATGGAATGGTACTTAATGTGCAGATAAGTCATGTGCTACTGCACCTGCAACTGCTGATTATGATGATAATGATAAATGCAGAGCTTATTTCAGTAATAAATGTACAGTTGCAGAATCAGGATAAGGATGTGTTGATGTACCAGATACATGTGAAACTATGGTAGAAAAATAATGTGTTACTGATAAGTCTGGTAGATTATGCTATTGGAATGGTACAGGTTGTATTACAAGATCTTGTGATAATGCTCCAGAAGCAACAGTATCTGCAGAAGAATGTAATACTTATTTATCTGGATGCACTTTAGATGCTGATGTTAAATGTAAGACAAAGGTTTGTGAAGATTTTGCTTTTGCCACTGATGCTTTATGTAAATAAGCTTTAAGTACATGTACAACAAATGGAACAAATTGTATCACAAGAGGAACCTGCTTCTAAGCAATGAGCTAAGCTGGTTGTGTTACTTCAGCAACAAATCAATAATGTGAATGGATGCCAGCTGTTGGCAGTAATTAAGCCTATTGTACAGTAAAGACATGTAATACTGCCCCAGTTACTTTAACTTCTGAAGCAGCTTGTGCTGGTTATTTCACTAATTGTACAACAAAGAATGGAGGTGGATGTGTTACTAAATCAACTTGTGCAGCTGTTACTGTTGATGCTGCTTGTACAACTGCTCTTAATGGAACTATTTGTGCTTGGGATAGTGCATAAAATAAATGTAGAGACAAAGATTGTTAAGATTTCAGTGGAACTACTCATGCTGCTTGTTAAGGTTAAAGAGCTGGATGTACTGCTGGAGCTAATGGAAAATGTGCTAGAGTTTAAAATTGTGAATAAACTACATTGAGAAGTGCTTGTGTTGAAGGAACAAATGGACCATGTTTATGGGTTAAAGACTTTGTTAACTCTGATGGATCTACAGGAGCTTGCTTTAGATATACTTCATGCAAGAGTTTGACTTGGAATTCTGATACATAATGTAAATGGTTAAGTAATTAATGTACAACTAATGGATCTAATTGTGTTGGTATTACTTTATGTTCTGAAACTAATACTGATGGTGGATGTGTCACAGGATATGATGGAGCTTGTATATAATCAGTACCAGCTTTGAATTCTGCAGATCCAAAGGTTTGTAAACCATATACATCTTGTGCTGATGCTTTCTATACAACTCATTCCGATTGCTAAATTGCTAGTAGTAAATGTACAACAAATGGAACTACTGGTTGTATTGCATTAGGTGCTTGCTCATCTTATACTTCATAAGCAGGATGTTATTTCAATGATAAGGGAGCTGTTTATACATCTGGAGTAATAACTTCAACTGGTATTTGTACATGGGATACAACTGCTAATAGTTGCAGAGATTAATCATGTGCTGATTTAACTGGAATAAATCATGCAGCATGTTCTTCATAATTATCAACATGTACATCTGATGGAACAACATGTTTAGTCAAAGGAGCATGTTCATCATATGCAACTTAAACTGCCTGCACAACTGCTGTTGGATCTGATGGTGTATGCTATTGGGAACTTGCATCTGCTACAAATAATAACACAGCTAAATGCAGATTATTAACTTGCCCAGATATTCAAAATGGTACAGCAACCAATGTTTGTTCAGTAGCCTTGTCATCATGTGTATCAGATGGAACAGCTTGTATTACAAAAGCTAATTGCTCAACTTATAAAACTAAGACAGCATGTAATTCAGGTGGATTAGATGGTATTTGTGTATTCACTTAATCAACTGCTACAGGAGCTGTTGCTGGTACTGGAACTTGTGCATTAATGACAGCATGTACTACTGCTAATAATGATTAAACAGCTTGTTCATAAGCTAGAGATAGATGTTCATGGACTGCAGCCTCAGGAACTGGTGCAACTGCTGTTGCTAGTAAATGTGCCACACATACTTGTGCTACAAATTAAGCAACAAATGGAGCTTGTACAAGATTTTTGAATTGGGATAGAAAGACTTAATAAGTTTGTACTCTTGTTAGTGGAACATGCACAGCCACAGATCCATCAACTTTATCATCAAATGATTGCTTCTTGGTTTCTGGATATACATATACATGGAATGCAGCAACAAGCAAATGTGGAGTTTGCACTGCACCTGTTGTTTAACCAAATAATACAGATAATAATACAAACAATACAAACAATTAAACAACAACCGATTCAGGATACATTCTTGGATTATCAACAGTCATTTTAGGATATCTCATGTTCTGATGAGAATGATTTTTTACATTTATATAGGGAAAAATTATTATTAATTATAAAAAAAAATTTCTTGTAGAACTATTTAATATCATTATATTATTCTGTATATATTATATATCTATTTTGATATCAACATACCATGAATTCAATTATTATTTAAGTATCATTAAAGAATAAATTTTTATTTCTTCTCTAAAGTTATTCAATGTATACCTTAAGCATCTTGAATTTACATTCAGTGAAGCTCTTTTTAATTGAATTTCAATAAATAATTTTATACAATTAGATCTAATTATGATCTATCAAAATCAATCTTTTAAATGACTTGGCGATATATTAACATATTTCTATTCTAATGTATGTTTTTTTTTATGCTGTGTTCTGTCTGATTGATTAATTATGTAATTTTAGCTGATATTTTTTCTTAGTTCTTATAATGAAGAATTACATTATCTGATTAAGAAATATTAATAACAGTATATCTACTAACAAATTTAAGAAATTAGTTCTATTACATAATAAATATATAGTGTTTTGAATTTAAAGTATTTTAAGTTATTTTGGAAAGTAGATTAGAGTATTAATGTTGCTAGTAGTTCCTCAATATTAAATCTACTAATATAATTAAGGATTGATTAAATAGATTGTTGTAATCAAATGTATAAAAATTCTAAAGGTTTTTATAATTAATTATTTATTATCTTTCTAAATATACTATAGTCGATTTTTCACATTAGAAAATAAGTTGTTTTGATACTATCTTTAGCTAAATTAAAAAATTTCTTTAGAATTTAATCTAGGAGCATTATGTTGTAAATCAAAATAAAGTGACAATTCCTCCTTAGCTACCATAAAATCAACAAACAGGAAAAGCTTAATAGATGAGTTAAGTCTAAATTTTTGAAATAATAAGATTAAGATAAACAATAAATGATTAATCACTCAATCTAAATCCTCATATCTTTTTTTTGAAGTAGTAAAAGCCAACATTTTAATATAATTTCTTTATTTAAATCAGTTCTTATTTTAAATTTAAATTTTTTCTCCATATTGCTCTCTCTATGTCTCATCAGTAATTCTTAAGGGATTAAGATAAGGGCATAATTTAAATAATTATATGATGTAAATTCTATAAATAATATCATTTAAGATAATTTGAATTGAGGAGTATACATATTGAATAATTGATGAGTAAATTATATAGAGCTAAAATATTTCTGCTTCAATTATAAAAGTGGAGTTCCTATTAGCCATAAAATAGAAGCTTAAAATATAATATGAATTATTATTCTTTGTTGATAGATTTTGGTCATTTTCAAACTCTCTTGAAAAATATCACCTCTTAGAAGATTAAAAATTTGCAAAAAGGCATAGTAAATGTTTTACAGATTTAAATAACTTCAACATTTTATCATATGAATTTTGATTTTATTTAGAATTTAGAAATAAAAAAGATTTCCTCTTTTTATAATAATTGGTAAAGTTGTTAGAATTCTGTACCATTTTTTCCATGAAATCTTATGATTCTAATGGAACCAAATCTATTTTATTATAATACCTCCTCCATTCTAAAAAAATCTAAATAAATACATTCATATGCAGTATTTAAAAATAATGCTTTTCTAGTTTAGAAAAAATAAGCATCCTTTAAAATTATCCTACTCAAAAGATATGTGTTAAATGTATAACTTTTGGAAATTTCAAAAGAGATTTTTGAAAATAGAGTTGGAGAAATTAGAATCAAATAGTTTTTCATAGAAATTAGGATAAAAATAGTTTTTCATAGAAATTAGGATAAAGCACAAGTTAAATATTAATAGTAATACAATTAAAACTTTTGATTAAATATGCATTTTTCTCCTCTTGTTTGAAATTTGATTTTTAGTAATTGAATTTAAGGGATTGTTTTTTTTAATTAGTTTTAATATATATATAGAGTAATTAAAATCTATGTCCAAAATTGAAATTTTGTGATATTAGAACATGTAATATTTTATTGTTCTTTTGGATAAGAGTTTATTGGAAGTAAAATAAAGTAAATAGGTATTTCCTTAATATTTAGATGATTCAATAATTTTAGGTATAAAAAATAGAATTACTTATTGTATAAGAACATCAACTCTAAGTAGATAATTAATAATCAATTAATATTAGTAATTATTCTATTTTAACAATCCTAAAATTTGATTTTCATCTTAAATTTCCATTTCCATTTGATCATAGTATTTATTAATGAATTTCTTATTTTTCATTTTAGTATCATATTCAATTCAAAGTTTATCTATTAATCTAACCATAGGATTGACTTTTACTTTCTTAATTTCAGAAAAAATATCAAATCTATTATATCTAATTATGCTAGATCAATATATTAAGATAATAATAATTAATATGAATATATTTATTCATTAATTAGCTTATATCTTATCAAAGAATACAGAATCATTTGTTTAGGAATTAAGAGTTGGTGGAAATATTTAAGCAACTATGTTGACATAACATATTTTAAGAAATAATTAATGGAGAAATCAGGACTGTTTAAATATAATTGCTTAATACTACCTTGCTTAAATTTAGAATAATCAGGTTATAAATTTGAATGAAACGGAAGGAGAACAAGAGTTTTTATCTAAATTTGCCAGTGGGTGGTATTCAATAATTATTATTATTTACATTTAATGTTAAACCCTTTAGAAAACTTTCAATCAATAGATTAAATTATACTTATAGAAGGAATTCCCGGCATACGATATATTTTAACTCTTTTATTATTTTAATAATTCTTAATCACAATTAAAGATGGAGTAGATTACAACTATATTTATTTTTCTATTTGTAATTAGATTTAATCTGTTCATTTATAAATAGATTGAATAGAGTTGAACTGACTATAATATATATAGTAGAAATACTCTAATGAATTTACTTCTTAATTTAAATGTAGATACTATGATAGAATTAAGATTCTTAGATAAGTTCCATTTATGCTTTATTATAACAAGTATGATAACTGTTAATATTTAATTTAAATAAAATTAGAGAAATCATTTATGTAAATTATAATAACTATTCTTAATTACATAAGAATAATAATATTTCTTTAGTATTTTAAAAAAGAATCAATAATAATTTCTTTTATGACTAATAGTTAATAGTTATCATTCTAATAATAACATAAAATTAACGTTATATAAATATAATTAAAAATGATTATTTCTAATATCTTCTTTAAATATAATAACTTTATTTCTACATTTCAATTTTTAGTTCTCATTATATTCCTTTAAGTAGAAAAGGATTAAAAAATCTAAAATACTTGTAACCAATGGATTAATGAATAATTTTAGATTCACTATATTATGAAATTATATTAATCATAGTAGTATATATATTTAGTAAGATATAGTATATAGGAACTAATTATATGAATTCATCTATTATTTTTACACTTATTTCTTATCTTAATAACATTATATATTAATATATTAAATTGTAAATAGAACCAAATAATTTATAATGATTAATGTGTTAAGTATTAACTATCATATAGTTATCCAAAAGGAAAATAAATTGATTGAATATAAGATATATAATCTATTTTATAAATGGTTAACTAATATAATATAATTTACATCAAAGCTAATCAACTAATTATATTCTTCTAAATAAAAAATAGAATATAAAATATAATGATATAGGCACATCTATGATTGAATGATATTAAATGATAATTATTAGACTATTTAAAACACGTTTCTTGTAAACAAATCATTTATATTAAATATCGAAAGTGATGTAATAAAAGGAATTTGAAGAGACCATTGAAGAAGTAAAAACTATAAAGGCTATCACACCAAAGGTAGAGTGAATGTGTTAATTTTATAATAGGAAATTAAAAAGATTGTAAGACCTTAATTTGAAGCTAATCCAGAGTTGTTCTATCCAACCAAGGTTTTTGATAAATTTGGGTTTAGTAGATGCAAATGTCCAAAATGTGGTGCATATTTTTGGAGACATACAGATAAAAAGACTACATGTGGAGATTCAAAGTAATAGAAGAATTCAATAAATTTTTAGTTGTGAAGGAAAATATTCTTTTATTGGTGTAGGTACTGGTAAAGGGGCAAAAGGAAATAAAATAACATATGCTGATGCTTGGAATGGATTCAAGAAATCTTTAACAAGTGCAAGAGTACCATGCACAGCAATTGATAGATATCCAGTTGTGGCAAGATGGAGAAATGATGTTGATTATGTAGCAGCAGGAATCTATTGTTTCTAACCATTTTGTGTAACAGGTGAAATGGATCCACCAGCAAATCCATTGATTTGTCCATAATTTTGTGTTAGATTTAATGATCTAGACAATATTGGTTTAACAGGTAGACATTATTCAGGATTTATAATGCTTGGTATATAGACATTCAATTATCCTGATAAATATGTATTCTTTAAAGAAGAATGCGTTGAATTTAATTATAGATGGTTGACTGAAGAATTAGAAATTAATCCAGATGATATTACATTTATTGAAGATGTTTGGGCAGGTGGTGGAAATCTAGGTCCATCAGTAGAATATTTTGTAAATGGATTAGAAGTAGGAAATATGGTATTTATGTAATATAAATATTTCCATGATGGATCATATGAAGAATTACCTATTAAAATTATAGATACTGGAATTGGATTAGAACGTATACCTTGGTTAGTAAATGGTTCACCAACAAGTTATTTTGATGTATTTGCTGGAGCATTTGCATTCTTGGCATAAAAATTATAAGTTGAATATTCAAATGATGTTTGGAAAGCATTTGGACCATATAGTTGTTTATTGAATGTTGATGAGGTTGAAAATGTTGATAAGACATGGGAATTTATATCATCATAAATTGGATATGATGTTTAAACTATAAAGAGGGAAATTGAATAATTAAAAGATATGTATATCATTTTAGATCATACACGTACTGTTATGATGGTAGTAACTGATGGATCATTACCATCTAATGTTGGTGGTGGTTCTAATATTAGAAATATCATTAGAAGAGTATTTGCCGTTTTGAAGAAAAATAATTGGTGGGATAAATTAGGAATGGATGGATTATTATAATTATTTTAAGAACATAAAAATGATTTGGCTAAACTTTATGGTCCATTTGGTGAATATAAGAGTTTTGATTAAATTATTAAATAAGAATATGAAAGATGGGCAAAAACAGATGATGATAAGAAAGTTAAATTAGAAAAATTATTAAAATAAAAGAATAATTAATTAAGTATTGATGATTGGATATTTGCTATGAGTACACATGGAATACCAGCTGATACTATTAGTCAAATTAGTAAATTACCAATCCCTGGTAATTTATATGCTGAATTGGCAGATAGAGCAGCTAGAATTACTAAAGCACCTGAAGCTATTCTTTATAACACAGTACATATACCAGAAACTACTAATTTATATTATCAAACACCTAAAGATGGTAAATTCTAAGCTAAAATTGTTACTATATTTAGTAATGTTTAATAATAGAATCTTCCTAATATAGTGATTTTGAATTAATCTGCCTTTTATCCATTTGGTGGTGGATAAGAAAATGATTAAGGTTGGTTAACTATTTAAGGAGAAAGATATTTTGTTAATAATGTTTAGAAAGTAGGAAAGGCTGTGTTACATATTTTAGAAAAACCATTACCAAATTAAGTTGATACTTATGTTGGTTTAGATGTTTAAGCTGAAATAGATTTAGATAGAAGATCTATATTGAGAAATCATCATACAGCTACTCATATTGTATTCGCAGCATGTAGAAGAGTACTTGGACCTCATGTTTGGTAGAATGGTGCTCATAAGAGTGTACATAATGCACATCTTGATATTACTCATTTTGCACCTTTAACAAAGGAGTAAGAATAAGCAATAGAGANTGAATAATTAAAAGATATGTATATCATTTTAGATCATACACGTACTGTTATGATGGTAGTAACTGATGGATCATTACCATCTAATGTTGGTGGTGGTTCTAATATTAGAAATATCATTAGAAGAGTATTTGCTGTTTTAAAGAAGAATAATTGGTGGGATAAATTAGGAATGGATGGATTATTATAATTATTTTAAGAACATAAAAATGATTTGGCTAAACTTTATGGTCCATTTGGTGAATATAAGAGTTTTGATTAAATTATTAAATAAGAATATGAAAGATGGGCAAAAACAGATGATGATAAGAAAGTTAAATTAGAAAAATTATTAAAATAAAAGAATAATTAATTAAGTATTGATGATTGGATATTTGCTATGAGTACACATGGAATACCAGCTGATACTATTAGTCAAATTAGTAAATTACCAATCCCTGGTAATTTATATGCTGAATTGGCAGATAGAGCAGCTAGAATTACTAAAGCACCTGAAGCTATTCTTTATAACACAGTTCATATACCAGAAACTACTAATTTATATTATCAAACACCTAAAGATGGTAAATTCTAAGCTAAAATTGTTACTATATTTAGTAATGTTTAATAATAGAATCTTCCTAATATAGTGATTTTGAATTAATCTGCCTTTTATCCATTTGGTGGTGGATAAGAAAATGATTAAGGTTGGTTAACTATTTAAGGAGAAAGATATTTTGTTAATAATGTTTAGAAAGTAGGAAAGGCTGTGTTACATATTTTAGAAAAACCATTACCAAATTAAGTTGATACTTATGTTGGTTTAGATGTTTAAGCTGAAATAGATTTAGATAGAAGATCTATATTGAGAAATCATCATACAGCTACTCATATTGTATTCGCAGCATGTAGAAGAGTACTTGGACCTCATGTTTGGTAGAATGGTGCTCATAAGAGTGTACATAATGCACATCTTGATATTACTCATTTTGCACCTTTAACAAAGGAGTAAGAATAAGCAATAGAGAATGAAGTCAATAAAATAATATTATCTGCAAAGTAAATCAATAAAGGATTTATGAATAAAGCAGATGCAGAAAAAGAATATGGATTTAGATTATATTAAGGTGGTATTGTACCAGGAAATGAATTAAGAGTTGTTAATATAGATGGAATAGATGTTGAAGCTTGTTGTGGTACCCATTGTGATAGCACATCAGAAGTAGGATGGGTTAGAATTCTTAAAACTTAAAAATTATAAGATGGTGTTGTTAGACTTTATTATGTTGCTGGAGTTAAGACTATTGAAGTTTTAAATTCAGAGGGAGAGATGATTAATTCATTAGTTAAATTATGGTCAATTTCTAAGAATTAATTGGTTGAAGAAGGTAGCAAGATATTCTAAGAAAAGAAACATTATGAATCTGCTTATAATGTATTATATCATTATTATTATTATATTAGTAACTTAAGGCTGAATTGATCAAATCACAAATGAAATATGTTATTGATGGTCCGAATTAAAGAACACTTATTCAATCAAATGAATAAAATCCAACTGCTTATTTCAGTGAAATTGGAAAGTATATCCAATAACTCAAAGATTCCAAGAAAGGTTTATTGTTTGTTGCTGACACTTTCATTTATGGAGCCTTTGGTGAAAATAATTTCAATGTAGAAGAGTTGAGTAAATAAATAGAGGAAGAAGGATAATAATTGAAAATGAATAAGTAGAATAAGATTAGTGTTAAAGATGGAAAGGTATAATAATAATAATTATAAATTAATAGAAAACTATCTAAGTTAATGATGTGTTAACATTCTCTATCTTAGGTAAATTCAATAAGAATAAAGCAACAAAGTATCTTAAAGAGCAAGGTTTTGCTTAATTTTGAGATAATATATATATGGATAATAAATATAATCTTAAATAATCAAAAAATATAAAGAAGATGTAATAAATCTCTTTAAAATTTGATATTGTTTTTTAACAAACTCATTTATTTAATGATGGTAATTGCACTTTCTACTTTTTGCTATAATCTGTTTTTTCAGCTGTATTGAGATCAAGTGACATAATTTTCAATGCCATAGATTTTTCATAATTATCCTATACTTAACCTGCATTTGGACGTGTTAATAAATTATTTAAACTATTATATTAATTAATTATTTATACGTGCTCTTAGACCATTTCTCTTAATAAGTGGTTGTCCAATGTTAAGATGTAGCTAAATCAGATTAACGCATCTTAATAATTAATATTTATATACTTTGAGTTCATAATCTGTCTAATTTAATCGATTAATAAATGATTATTCATATTTATATTTAAGATCTCTATTTTAAACAGTGATTTTGATGAATCCAAAATCTATATTTAAATTATGTCCTAATCTAGTTAAATCATGAATTGCCTTTATCAATGAATTATGTATACATTATACAACATCCTTACCTAAATAACTGATATTATAAATATAATTCATTACCAAGATGCAGCAATAGGACCAGCATTACAGAAGTTCATTCCAAATCCTTTTTGATAAATGGAATGTTAACTCAATGGTTTTGTTATTTCCTCTTTTCCAGGATAACGAGCCAAAAAATATTTAAAAGAATTGTCAGGAACAAAACATGGTCTAGATCTATAATAACAATTATCTACCTTATCTAATGAATATGTTTTCTCTCTGCTCTTTGAATTCCCAAATCTTGAGTCATATTAAATCCTGAATGTTAGAGTGGTTTAACATAATCTGAATTAACTTCCATTGTAAATGCTCCTAACTCTTTCATATTGACGCCCTAAAGTAATCAATTTTTAATGTTACATTTCCATTTAGCATTTTATCTTTGATGTACTCTGCAGTAGCCTTAATCACTATATGAAATTAAGCTTTTGCTTCAAGTGGTTTATAAGATGCAATAGTTCTTGGTTAGGATTCTTGATGTTTTCCTGGATAATTTTGACTATGACTAAGGATCCTGTAATTTGAATGCATATATATACCAATTATAGATATCGTCAAGGTTCATGAAACTGATTTTTATGTATATTATATATTAATAATCATAAGAAATAATCTGGTACTCTTTTTGGAACAGATTCATTTTCTGATCTAGGTGCTGGATCAAATGTAATACTATTATAATAATGATTATAAAGTACAATGTTTATCTTAAATTTTCATCAACTTCCATAATTCCAGCTTAATTTCCACATCTATAGCAATAATTAGGTGCAGAGAATATAGTTACAACATTTCTATCGTGAGCTAATGAATAACCCTATGATTAAGAATGATTTTTATACATCCATAACTAATTGATGTGCTCTTGCAATCATCTTTAATTTGTTATTATGATTAAATTACTCAGAGATATCCTATCCAAAAGTATATCCAGCTCCTCTTGGAGATATTCCCCATCCAGATCTATCATCAGGATCACTCCATAATAAATCACACATTGGTCCTTCATGAGGTACTTCTTAAACTCTATCTAACTATCGAATATGATCCAAAGTGTCAATTGAAGGTGATATACCACCATGTAGACAGAAAAACTGTTTGAATTAGATGATAAAATACTTGAGATTCAACAACTGCTGTTAAAGGTAAGTAATCAAAGAGTTCAGTAAAGTATTTCCATACATTACTATTACCATACTTTCTTGAACATTCATCATAGAAACCATAAACTTATGTTATTTATCTTGATTCATGATTTCCTCTTAAGATTGTAATTCTATCTCTATGACGAATCTAATTATTATTATATGTATAATACTTTCAATAAGACTAATAAAGTAACACATTCAACTGAATGATGTCCTCTATCTACATAATCACCCATGAATAAATAATTTGTATCCTTAATTGAAAATGATTCATTACTGGTGCTTTACCACCTATTTTGAATAATTCCATCAGATCATGGAATTGACCATGAATGTCACCACATATGATCACTGGAGCTCTGACAGGTTATACATTTGATTCTTCAATTAAAACTTCTTTTGCCTATAAAAGAAAATATAAATTATTAAAAAATTAAACCTTTTCACATAATAGTTTGACATCTTATTCAGGAAGAGGCTTGCATTAGTATAAATGTTATATCTAATTATCAAGATTATTTGCCTCTGGGGTTGTAATTTTAGAAGACATTTAATTTAATTTTTGAATCAACAGGAGAATATTTAAGTAATTTATAAAAGAAAATTTAATAATATTGTATTACTATGAATTTTGGAGTAGAAATAGATAAATAATTAAAATTACTAATAAAATAAGATATATTATATTGTAATGATTTATTAAAATTATCCATGAAGAGAGTAGGAAATAATATTGTTTCTAACAAATAAAATCTGATATTAGTGATAAAATAAAAAAGAGATTGTAATAATGATTGAAATATAACATATAACACTTAAAGAACATTTGAAAAGAATATTGAAAGAATCACTTATGTACACACTGTTGTAATTATTTAAATTTTGAAATAATTGTGGAGATCAATAACCTATCATATTCATTAAATAAGTAAATTGATTAGAATTAATTATATATATATCATGATTTTAAATAAATGCAATTATAAAAAAGAAAGTTGATTATTCTTGAAATCTATAAAATTTTAAATTAGATTAGTTCATGTTAGTTATTTTGTTTCCTGTTGATTCGAAAACTTATAAGATTACAATAACATTGTGTAAATATTTATATTTTTGTATAAAATAAAAAGTATTTAATGCATTTGTAAATTTAATTTACAAAATTGNTTCCATACATTACTATTACCATACTTTCTTGAACATTCATCATAGAAACCATAAACTTATGTTATTTATCTTGATTCATGATTTCCTCTTAAGATTGTAATTCTATCTCTATGACGAATCTAATTATTATTATATGTATAATACTTTCAATAAGACTAATAAAGTAACACATTCAACTGAATGATGTCCTCTATCTACATAATCACCCATGAATAAATAATTTGTATCCTTAATTGAAAATGATTCATTACTGGTGCTTTACCACCTATTTTGAATAATTCCATCAGATCATGGAATTGACCATGAATGTCACCACATATGATCACTGGAGCTCTGACAGGTTATACATTTGATTCTTCAATTAAAACTTCTTTTGCCTATAAAAGAAAATATAAATTATTAAAAAATTAAACCTTTTCACATAATAGTTTGACATCTTATTCAGGAAGAGGCTTGCATTAGTATAAATGTTATATCTAATTATCAAGATTATTTGCCTCTGGGGTTGTAATTTTAGAAGACATTTAATTTAATTTTTGAATCAACAGGAGAATATTTAAGTAATTTATAAAAGAAAATTTAATAATATTGTATTACTATGAATTTTGGAGTAGAAATAGATAAATAATTAAAATTACTAATAAAATAAGATATATTATATTGTAATGATTTATTAAAATTATCCATGAAGAGAGTAGGAAATAATATTGTTTCTAACAAATAAAATCTGATATTAGTGATAAAATAAAAAAGAGATTGTAATAATGATTGAAATATAACATATAACACTTAAAGAACATTTGAAAAGAATATTGAAAGAATCACTTATGTACACACTGTTGTAATTATTTAAATTTTGAAATAATTGTGGAGATCAATAACCTATCATATTCATTAAATAAGTAAATTGATTAGAATTAATTATATATATATCATGATTTTAAATAAATGCAATTATAAAAAAGAAAGTTGATTATTCTTGAAATCTATAAAATTTTAAATTAGATTAGTTCATGTTAGTTATTTTGTTTCCTGTTGATTCGAAAACTTATAAGATTACAATAACATTGTGTAAATATTTATATTTTTGTATAAAATAAAAAGTATTTAATGCATTTGTAAATTTAATTTACAAAATTGTACAGATAGACAAATAATTTTATAATTCGAAAAGTAGACTCAAACAATAATTGAAAGTATTTGCTAAATTATATAAAATATATTAAATTTATTATAGTTGATATATGTAATAAATAATAATTAATATTATCATAAATATAATTTCGAATAAACAACTATTTTTATATATGGATCAAATAATGTTACCAAATTTTATCAATAAGAACCATATCCTAGAAAGTCAGGAACGAAATGTGAAATATTTACATGTAGTAAAGATTTGAATTTGTATGCAATGAAGGTTTTCAAGAAAAATAAATAATAATGTTTACATGGTTAAATCATAAAATTAATAGATAATCTTGAATGGAATGCAAATAGAGTCACACTTTTAGAGTATTGTCCAAAAGATCTTATTTAATATTAGATTGAAAATCTTTACATAGATTGTAAGTGCATAAATCCAGAACTGAAGATTTAAATATTATGGATTTATATTTCTCACATTGAGATACAGTTAAATGATCTTAATATTTATTTAATAAATTTGCTTATCCTTATCATACCAGAAAATTAAATGATAGGCAATGATAATATGATTAGGATAATAGATTTTAGGAAAAGTAAAATCTCTGATATGATAATCAAATTCCAACTCCCAAAACTTAATTGGATGGTTCTCCTGAATATATGGATCCCATTCTGTATTTGTTAATGTTGGATTCTAAGAGAAATGCGATTTATGGTTTATGGGAGCAACTTTATATTATATTTTCAAAAATTAAATATTGAATATAAATTAATAAGAAATCAATATATAAGCTAAGAAGAATAAGCATGAAGCTAAATTAGAAATGGTATAGGAAATGATCAATTAATCATTAATTTAATTACCATTCGCTGAATAATTAAAATAATTATTAGATAAATTATTGAAAGTAGATCACAAGTAAATATTTGGATGGAATTAACTATTTAAAAATGGATTAATTAAATAATTATTCGAATCAATACTTCAAGAATAAATTTAACATTAGGGTAATAGAAAGAAACTAATAAAATTATCATTTTAAATGAATAAAGACTTTTTCTCTGTAGGACCCATTTTGACTGAAACATTATATAATATTATTAACAAAGGAAAGTAAAGTTCTTCAACAGTTATGGAAATTTTTAAATGCTTTATTAAAATGAATTCAAGAATGAAAATTTTATGAATAATTGGTAAAATTGACAAATGCAAATATTTATTGAATCTAAGATCTATCATTATACTTTATCATAATAATTAGATATTTACTTGAAATACTCTTAAATCTGATGATGATTAATGGAAACGAATAAAATCAATAGATTTATGAGAGAATTCAATTATAAATCGAATATTTGTTTGAAGGTGTAAGAAAGAATTTATATGGAAATGGCCTAGAATTAAAGATTTTTGATCGAATGAAACAAATACAAATAAAGTATACGTTTATAATACATAATTAGAATTTACAGAATAACAAAGATAGTATTTTTTATACGATAAAATGAATGTTACTAATCGTCCTGATTGTTATGATAAACCATACTTTTATCATATCTACTGAAATTTATAAAGGTTTTCATCAATATTTATGATAAAGAAGGAGTCTAAATTTTAAGAGATATTTTTATTTCTTACCAATTTGAGGAATTCTTTTAGAATTGCACACACAATTTAAAATATATAATTACTAATACAGAACAAAATAAAGAAGGATTTTATGCTAAATTGAAAAGATATTTATAATTCAATAATTGAGTAGTGAATATTATTCAACAGCATTATTTCTTCTTTTTAGATGATTCTGGTTATGTTTCCTTCTTTAACACATAAACATCATTGATTCCTAATTAAGTCTAACTTATTGGTTTCTATGCTGATACAATTTTATATATTTCTATATTAATTAAAATTAATTATTCACCTGTAACCATCTGATTGAATGCTATATCTACATTTGTATTATTAAGTGCTGATGTCTCTATATATCCTACCTTATTTTACTCACAGAATTAAGATACTTCATCAGTCCTTACAATCTTCATCAATTATATACAAATACTCTCTATTCTGCCAAATCTATTTTGTTGCCTACCAACATTATTACTATTTCAGGATCCCCATATTACTTTATTTCACTCATCCATCTTAATGTTGATTCATATGTTCCCTATTTTGTTACATCATAACAAACGAATACTCCCTTTGCTCCCCTATAATAAGCACTAGTTATTGCTCTAAATCTAATAATTATTTCAATATCACTTACTTCTCTTATCCTGCTGTATCCCATATCTAACACTTTATCAAATTCCCATCCTATCTCACCGTTTTATTTAGAAATTCTACGCCTATAGTTGGTCGAGTATCATATTAAAAATCCTTATTTTACAATCTATTGAATAAGTTAGTCTTCCCCACTCCAGAATCACCTAACCATTAATTATTGACATTACCAATCAATATAATTTTGAACAAATAACTAAATTCATCATCCATCATATTTAATTTATTTTTATATAATTTAATATTATTATTATCAAAAAATAGCTCTCTTGCTTTATAGCTTATTCTTATTATACAATTTATATTCAAAACAGGTTGATTGATATTCTTTAATCATCCATTTCTATTCCATATAAATTATTAAAGCTTATAATTCAATCTGATTGATGGTTTTAATATATATTAAATTTTATGTTTATAATAATATAGCATAATAATATTTCAAGGGGACTTCATATTCAATTTATAAATCATGCAAATTATCAAGAATATATAACTATACATATTTAAAATATTTTTATCCGTCAATCTTAAAACAACTATTATCAATAGGCATATTAATCAATAACTTTATTGGAATTATTTTTAATATTTGTTCATCTATGTAATAAATAAATAATCAAATTATAACTTTAAAAAAATATATTAAATTTATAATTAAATTTTATTTATGATTCTACTATTTAAATATATTCTATCAATAAGTATTATTTTTAATCAATACTAATTGATAAAGAATCAGAAAAAATTTTTTTTTAATTAATAATAATTTTTCCCTATATAAATGTAAAAAATCATTCTCATCAGAACATGAGATATCCCAAAATGATTGTTGATAATCCAAGAATATATCCTGAATCGGTTGTTGTTTAATTATTTGTATTGTTTGTATTATTATCTGTATTATTTGGTTAAACAACAGGTGCAGTGCAAACTCCACATTTGCTTGTTGATGCATTCCATGTATATGTATATCCAGAAACCAAGAAACAATCATTTGATGATAAAGTTGATGGATCTGTGGCTGTGCATGTTCCACTAACAAGAGTACAAACTTATTAAGTCTTTCTATCCCAATTCAAAAATCTTGTACAAGCTCCATTTGTTGCTTAATTTGTAGCACAAGTATGAGTTGCACATTTACTAGCAACAGCAGTTGCACCAGTTCCTGATGCTGCAGTCCATGAACATCTATCTCTAGCTTATTAACAAGCTGTTTAATCATTATTAGCAGTAGTACATGCTGTCATTAATGCACAAGTTCCAGTACCTGCAACAGCTCCTGTAGCAGTTGATTAAGTGAATACACAAATACCATCTAATCCACCTGAATTACATGCTGTCTTAGTTTTATAAGTTGAGCAATTAGCTTTTGTAATACAAGCTGTTCCATCTGATACACATGATGACAAGGCTACTGAACAAACATTTGTTGCTGTACCATTTTGAATATCAGCACAAGCTAATAATCTACATTTAGCAGTATTATTATTTGTAGCAGATGCAAGTTCCCAATAGCATACACCATCAGATCCAATAGCAGTTGTGCAGGCAGTTTAAGTTGCATATGATGAACATGCTCCTTTGACTAAACATGTTGTTCCATCAGAAGTACATGTTGATAATTATGAAGAACATGCTGCATGGTTTGTTCCAGTCAAATCAGCACATGATTAATCTCTGCAACTACTAGCTGTTGCATCCCATGTACAAATACCAGTTGAAGTGATGACTCCAGATGTATAAACAGCTCCCTTATCATTGAAAACGCATCCTGCTTATGAAGTATAAGATGAGCAAGCACCTAATGCAATACAACCAGTAGTTCCATTTGTTGTACATTTACTACTAGCAATTTAGCAATCGGAATGAGTTGTATAGAAAGCATCAGCACAAGATGTATATGGTTTACAAACCTTTGGATCTGCAGAATTCAAAGCTGGTACTGATTATATACAAGCTCCATCATATCCTGTGACACATCCACCATCAGTATTAGTTTCAGAACATAAAGTAATACCAACACAATTAGATCCATTTGTTGTACATTAATTACTTAGCCATTTACATTATCTATCAGAATTCCAAGTCAAACTCTTGCATGAAGTATATCTAAAGCAAGCTCCAGTTGATCCATCAGTATTAACGAAATCATTAACCCATAAACATGGTCCATTTGTTCCTTCAATACATGCACTTCTTAATGTAGTTTGTTCGCAATTTTAAACTCGAGCACATTTTCCATTAGCTCCAGCAGTACATCCAGCTCTTTAACCTTAACATGCAGCATGAGTAGTTCCACTAAAATCTTAGCAATCTTTGTCTCTACATTTATTTTATGCACTATCCCAAGCACAAATAGTTCCATTAAGAGCAGTTGTACAAGCAGCATCAATAGTAACAGCTGCACAAGTTGATTTAGTAACACATCCACCTCCATTCTTTGTAGTACAATTAGTGAAATAACCTGCACAAGCTGCTTCAGAAGTTAAAGTAACTGGGGCAGTATTACATGTTTTCACTGTACAATAGGCTTAATTACTGCCAACAGCTGGCATCCATTCACATTATTGATTTGTTGCTGAAGTAACACAACCAGCTTAGCTCATTGCTTAAAAGCAGGTTCCTCTTGTGATACAATTTGTTCCATTTGTTGTACATGTGCTTAAAGCTTATCTACATAAAGCATCAGTGGCAAAAGCAAAATCTTCACAAACTTTTGTCTTACATTTTACTAATGCATCTAAAGTGCATCCAGATAAATAAGTATTACATTCTTCTGCAGATACTGTTGCTTCTGGAGCATTATCACAAGATCTTGTAATACAACCTGTACCATTCCAATAGCATAATCTACCAGATTTATCAGTAACACATTATTTTTCTACCATAGTTTCACATGTATCTGGTACATCAACACATCCTTATCCTGATTCTGCAACTGTACATTTATTATTGAAATAAGCTCTGCATTTATCATTATCATCATAATCAGCAGTTGCAGGTGCAGTAGCACATGACTTATCTGCACATAATGTGCCATTCCATCCACAAAGTTCTCCAGAAGCATTGAATCTGCATTATTCTTAATGGATATATGTGGCACAGGCTGCTGTTTATTGACAACCTCCTAGAACTGGTGCACCACCATTAGCATCTGGTGTGGCAACTACTGTGCATCTAATAGTGTTGGTCGAAAAATAGGAATCACAATCAGCGTGGGTTGCTGTTGCAGTTGGGGCAGTCGTGCATGATTTATCTTAACATACTGCTTAGGCTAAATTTGTGTTCCAAACGCAAACACCTCCACTTGAATTAGTTTTGCATTAATCCTCAATTTAATAAGAACTGCAGGCTCCTCTAGCCATACAACCAGGGGCAGCTGCTCCATTTGTAGCTCTTACTGTACATAATAGTGTTGCATCAACTGCTACACATTCAGAATGACTATCGTATGAAGATGTTGCTTCAATATTACCACAATTCAAATCAACACAAGTCTTATTTGTTGCATTCCAGAAACACTTTCCACCAGTTGTATTAAATTTACATTAATTACTTGATTTATATGTTGAACAAGCAGCTCTTGGTTAACAACCTCCTAATCTTGCAACTGTGCATGTAGATAGATATCCAATACAATCAGCATGTGTATCAAAACTTGAATCTGCGGCAGCTGTATCGCATGTCTTTCTAACGCAAGATGTTCCTGAGACAACACATTCACCTTCAACAGCCCAAACACATGTTGCTGCAGTTTAACTGGCACAGGTGGATGGCAAAGTTGCGCAAGCAGTTGGTGATATAGCAGCATTGGCAGTACAAGTATTCAACCAAGTATTACAAGCTAAATGAGTAAATGGTGTTGTTTTATTAGCACATGTCTTGGTTTAGCATCCTGTAGTTCCTTATGCTATACAACCAGTTTTCAATTCATTGCATATTGTGTCATCAAAAGTAAATGTTCCTAATTTTATTGCCTCACAAGTAGTTGAAGCTGTTATGGATTGGCAGGAGGAATCACCGCTATTAGCAGTACAATATCCAGCAGTTGATCTATAACAACTGGTTATTGTTGAGTACCCAGAACATTATGGTTGTATTGTTATGCAACCGTTTCCATCTCTTCTAACACTACATGTAGCACTATAACGTTAACAAGTAGACCAAGTTAAGCCAGAACCTGTGAGTGCTTCACATGTAGAAAAGGCAATGCATGCATTTAAAGCAATATTAATATGACAGGCAGTACTATATGCTTAACAAGTTGCTTAAACTGCAGCTGCACCAGACAATCCGGTAATTAGATTACAATTAGCTGATGTAATATCAACACATGCAGTACCATTCCAATGACATTTCAAACCATCAGCTCTTTTGGTACAATTTGCTTCTGTTCCAGCATATACAGTACAAGTAGCTTATAATGCTTAGCATCCATCTGGAGTACCATTAATATGACAGGCAGTACTATACGCCTAACAAGTTGCTTAAACTGCAGCTGCACCAGACAATCCGGTAATAAGATTACAATTAGCTGATGTAATATCAACACATGCAGTACCATTCCAATGACATTACAAACCATCAGTTCTGAATGAACAATCTGCTTCTGTTCCAGCATATGCAGCACAAGTAGCTTATACTGCTTAACATGCAGTTCCTGCTTTATCAAGAGTGCAAGTGGCACTATATCCTTAACAATGTGCATGATTAGCTGTTGCGCCAGACAATCCGGTAATAAGATTACAATTGGCTGATGCAATATCTAAGCAATTAGTACCATCAAAATGACATTTCAAACCATCAGTTCTTTTTGTACAATTTGCTTCTGTTGTTGCATATCCAACGCAAGTAGCTTATAATGCTTAGCATCCATCTGGAGTACCATTAATATGACAGGCAGTACTATACGCCTAACAAGTTGCTTAAACTGCAGTTCCACCAGACAATCCGGTAATGAGATTACAATTAGCTGATGTAATATCAACACATGCAGTACCATTCCAATGACATTACAAACCATCAGTTCTGAATGAACAACTAGTTTATGTTGCTCCATATGCAGCACAAGTAGCTTATACTGCTTAACATGCAGTTCCTGCTTAATCAAGAGTGCAAGTAGCACTTTATCCTTAACAATATTAGTGAGTGTTATTTGGAGTACTTAATCCAGTGATTAAAGCACAAGAAAAAGTGCAAGCATCTGATGACGTAGCACTTACTGTATTGGTACAACCTGTTTTAATAGATTCACATTAAGTTTTGTTTCCTGTAAAGGTCGAGCATGCACCTTGAAGATATGTATTAGAAAAGCATTTTTCATATTCAGATTTCCAAGTACAATCATTTGAGTTGGCTGTTAAAGTTCTCACACATTAAGCTTCTGATGCATAGTCGCTGCAATTAGCTGATCTTGTCACACATCCTAATCCTCCAGTTTTATATAAAACTGTACATGTTTCGCTTGGTGTTTGATAACCTGAACACTCTGAATCATCATCAAAATCAGCACTATCTGATGCATCTGCACAAGTTGCATTTCTACAAGCTGATCCAGTCCATATGCAACTTTTTCCACTAGCAATTTTTACACAATTTTCAGCTGATCCATAAGAAGTACAAGCAGTAGCTAATGCTTAACAAGCTGTTCTACCATTATTAACTGTGCATGTATTCAAAACATTTTAACAACCAATATGAGTATTTGAAGAAATATTTGTACAAATTCTATCAACACAACTACTACCATTCCAATAACAATCTCCATTTGCTTTTGATCCAACTTAACAATTTTAAGAATTTAATCCTGAACAACTTGAGGGTTTAACAACACATCCTGTTTATTCATTGTTTGAAATGCATGGCCTTGAATTATTTGTACATACTCCTTAAGCATTAGTTGCTGTGCATACTGATAAATAATTTTGGCAATTGTTGAAACTAAATGTTACTAGTACTCCTGGTAATCCTGCAACACTAGCAGTGGCACAAGACTTCTCAACACATGTGGATGTAGTGGTATTCCATAAACATGTTGGCAATCCAGTTCTTGAAATTTCACAATTTTCAATTGATCTTCTAGCAGCACAAGTTGTTGGTAAATCTTAGCATCCTGAAATTGATCCATTTACTGGATTATTAGCAACACAACCTGATTTGTAATTGCCACATTCAGTTGTTGTTGTAGATGTTCTAGGAGCAGTTGAACAAGCTTTATCAATACATTATGAACCATTCCAACCACATGCTTAGTATGATTTAACTCCATTTGTAACTTATAATCTAACATTACATGCAGATTCAATTGTAATGGCTTCACATCTAAGGGGTATGGGAACACATCCAGATCCAGTATTACTCAAGGTACAACTAGAATCATAATTTTAACAATCTGCATGGGTTGCTGAGGTTGATGAAGCTAATACACATTCTTTTTTATAGCATTTTCCTTTCCAAATACATGCTCTATTATTCAAATCTTTATCACAAATTGTTTATGCCAATGAATTTTCGCATGTTTTCTCTACACAACCAGCATTTGTTGAATTTACTGTGCAAGTTGATAAAAAGGCAACACATAAATCATGTGTAATATTAGTTGATGGAGCATTAGTACAAATCTTATCTTTACAGCTTAAACTTACAGTATCATAGAAACAAGCAGCTCCAGAAGAATTCTTTATACAAGCAGCTTCTAAAGTGATATTTGAACATGTAGTATTTGTTACACATCCACCTCCAGTCTTTGTTATACAGTTATTATTTGGTAAATATGCTTCACATGCATCATTAGTTGTTAATGTTGTTGGAGCATTAGCACAAGTTCTAGGTTGACATCCACCTCCTGTTCTAACAGTACATGTAGATAAGTATGATGAACATAATTCATGAGTATTATTAGTTGTTGGTGCATTNTTAACAAGCTGTTCTACCATTATTAACTGTGCATGTATTCAAAACATTTTAACAACCAATATGAGTATTTGAAGAAATATTTGTACAAATTCTATCAACACAACTACTACCATTCCAATAACAATCTCCATTTGCTTTTGATCCAACTTAACAATTTTAAGAATTTAATCCTGAACAACTTGAGGGTTTAACAACACATCCTGTTTATTCATTGTTTGAAATGCATGGCCTTGAATTATTTGTACATACTCCTTAAGCATTAGTTGCTGTGCATACTGATAAATAATTTTGGCAATTGTTGAAACTAAATGTTACTAGTACTCCTGGTAATCCTGCAACACTAGCAGTGGCACAAGACTTCTCAACACATGTGGATGTAGTGGTATTCCATAAACATGTTGGCAATCCAGTTCTTGAAATTTCACAATTTTCAATTGATCTTCTAGCAGCACAAGTTGTTGGTAAATCTTAGCATCCTGAAATTGATCCATTTACTGGATTATTAGCAACACAACCTGATTTGTAATTGCCACATTCAGTTGTTGTTGTAGATGTTCTAGGAGCAGTTGAACAAGCTTTATCAATACATTATGAACCATTCCAACCACATGCTTAGTATGATTTAACTCCATTTGTAACTTATAATCTAACATTACATGCAGATTCAATTGTAATGGCTTCACATCTAAGGGGTATGGGAACACATCCAGATCCAGTATTACTCAAGGTACAACTAGAATCATAATTTTAACAATCTGCATGGGTTGCTGAGGTTGATGAAGCTAATACACATTCTTTTTTATAGCATTTTCCTTTCCAAATACATGCTCTATTATTCAAATCTTTATCACAAATTGTTTATGCCAATGAATTTTCGCATGTTTTCTCTACACAACCAGCATTTGTTGAATTTACTGTGCAAGTTGATAAAAAGGCAACACATAAATCATGTGTAATATTAGTTGATGGAGCATTAGTACAAATCTTATCTTTACAGCTTAAACTTACAGTATCATAGAAACAAGCAGCTCCAGAAGAATTCTTTATACAAGCAGCTTCTAAAGTGATATTTGAACATGTAGTATTTGTTACACATCCACCTCCAGTCTTTGTTATACAGTTATTATTTGGTAAATATGCTTCACATGCATCATTAGTTGTTAATGTTGTTGGAGCATTAGCACAAGTTCTAGGTTGACATCCACCTCCTGTTCTAACAGTACATGTAGATAAGTATGATGAACATAATTCATGAGTATTATTAGTTGTTGGTGCATTAGCACAAGTCTTTTCTTTGCATGTTGTATCCCAAATACAATCAGTTCCTGATGAATTTTTAACACAAGCTGCTTAGACATTTGCAGCTGAACAAGCTCCATTAGATACACAACCTCCACCTGATTTAGTAATACATCCTGTTACAAATCCAGCACAAGCTGAATTAGTTGTCATAGTAGTTGGGGCATTTGTACATATCTTATCAACACAAGCAGTTCCAGTCCAATAACAATCACCACCTGAACTATTCTTAATACAAGCAGCTTAGATAGTTGCAGCTGCACAAGTAGTTCTAGTAATACAACCTCCATTTGGTTTAGTTGTACATGTTCCATCAGTTCTAAAGGTTTTACATGTTTCATCAGTTGTTAATGTTGTTGGTGCATTATCACAAATTCTATCTTTACATGCTGCTCCATCCCAATAACATGCCATTGATCTTAATTTATTCCAAACACATTAAATTTCTAATGTTTAATCACTACAATTATTTCCACTATCAACACATCCACCTCCAGTCTTTGTTGTACAAGTTGATATCACATCTCTGCATTCTTTATCTGTAACAAATGTAATTGGTAATCTATCACAATTATTAGCATCTACACAAGTATTATTTGTTGTATCCCAATAGCATAAGCTTCCAGCTGCGTTTTTGACACAAGGAAGTTGTTTCTTGTATGTGCTACAAGCATCAAGTTCAACACAATGAGTTCCATCTGTAATACATCTATTACTAATTGCTTAACATTCAGGATCTGTTGTTTTTGCAAAGGCTGTACATCCTGTGAAATGTGTGCATTTTCCTCCAACCCAGGCACAGGCAGCATAGCTACCACAATCTGTGCAAGGTTTAGCTTTTGGACAATCAGCTTCTGCAAAAGAATCGCAATATGCTGCATAAGTCACTGTTGGAGTGACGGGAGTAGTTGAAACTGCACAAGATTTCTTTGTGCTATCCCAAGAACATCCAAGTTAAGTATTTTTTATACAATCTCCTTCTGATAACAACTATGCACATGTGCAAGATGTTATACTGTAAGTTTGACATGTTGCTAAGGCAAGCAACAATGCAAATATGATGAATTATTTATTCATTAAAAGTATTATTTGTCATTTCATATAAAATTCCAGTTAAATTAATCAAAAAAAATTTAATAATTTTCATAATTTTAATACATCACATTTTTTATTTAAAATTAGAAGCAAAATTTAATAATTGAGTTAATTGACATCATTAATATTAATATTAGAACTCTGAGGATTGCGTAAATGAGAAAGGGAAGTACACGATATCGAATATCAAGTTGATCATTATATCAATGATAAGGAATTAGTATTAATAATTGTCTCTACTTGCTCAAAATTTAAAGTAATTGATAAATTATGCAAATGCAACAATGAGCAAAAGTCACTTTAAACATTATTATATAATCTTATGTAGAAGCCTTGAAACTATTTTTACAGATATTCTTTAGGTAAAAAAAAAAAGAAAAGTAAAATGACAATGACAATGAAAAAATAATCATAAAAACACTCAATTCTTAATAAAAGGGATGATATAAAGCCCAAAAACTTTATGTTCCTTTTTTAGATTGAGAAATATAAATTTTTCATCTGTTCAATAATCGTTCTTATGATTTTAAATTCATACTAATGATCAGACCAAGTTACCCTAATGTTCGACGATAAAACTAAATAATTCTTAATAGAAGAATAAAAACATACAAAATACTAACGTAATATCATACTAACGTATATCATACTAACATGCTTTTTAAAATCAATTTAAATTAAAAGAAACTTAAATTTTCTTAAAAATTAATAAAATATGATCCAAGACTTGCTTGATTGCTCCCTCTTTAAAACTAGCTTCAATTTAAATAGTAGCTTTTATGTACATGAGCTATTTTGAAAGCATCTTTTTAAAAATCTAGAATATTCTTAAAAATAGCAATTATTTTCGAATAATTTAATATAATATCATGGGATAAACACTAAACAAAATATTATGCAATTAAAATATCTATTTTTATAAAAACCATGAATAATGAAGAAATTTTGCTTCTTTTATTAGTGATATTTTATTAAATAATAATTTGAGTTTAATTCTAAAACGAGGAGATTAATAATGAGTACCTAGTGTTTAGTGGCTAAATTATTCAAAAAATGTTGCTTTATACTTGAAAGTATTTATTTGTGGTTGTGAATTCTTTGATTTTTAATACTTAAACACTGTTTTTGAATAGTACATTTTCTGTTTAAAATATATTAATTCTTGTATAATTGTGCTCGGTGATTCTTTTATTGTATTTTAGGAAGAAATAAGGAATTTCAATTCATTTATCTAATAATCATTTATTTTCCTGATACTTCAGAATCTAGCTTCAATAGAGTATGGAATAAAAGATTCAATCAAGGCAAGATCACTTTAAGCTTAAAATAATAAGAAATATGATTAATAAATCATTGTAATAACAATTAAGATGATAAATTTTTAAGGATGTATATATTTTTTAAAATAATATGCATAAATCTTAAACGATTTATGCATATTATCATTTAAAGAAACCTCAAAATTGACCCTAATGTGTTCGAATCGCACAAAAATTTAATAGTACTAATTGTATAATTTTTAACATTAATACAAATTTCTTAGAATTTATTAAATTTTTTAAGAGGAAATCAATTTTTATTTTACATTTGCTTTCTTGTTTATACTTTGCTTAAATATCAAAATAAATACTTCATCTTAATCGAGTTTTTTCTCTTACAAATTATCATAAGGCTTCTAAAATAGTCGACCAACTTATAATTGAATGATTTTTTTTTTATAATTTGATATTTTAATGTTATTTTATATGAAGTTTCTAACTTTTATATTATCAATTAAATTACAGACTATCAGCATTCTCATCTCTAGTTTTGGCATGAATTTATTCTAATAAATAATTTGTAAAGTTTTTTAAATTAACCTATCTTCCTATGATATCCTCTCTCAAATCACTTGAAATAGAATTTGATTATTATTTTCTAATCTTTGAAAAAAAATCTCTTTCCATTGAGTAAATAAATAACACATTTGGGAAAAAATTATCCAAATTCCTTTATAAATTAAAAATATTAATATTGAACCTAAATTTTGAAGGCTTTATAAAAATCACTCAGTGTTAGGTTTCGAATAAACTAATTCACTTATTATTAGATTATTCTAATGGCTAACTAAATACAAAAATAAAAATCCTTGAAAACAGATCTTTTAATAATTTAAATTTAGTATNACCTAGTGTTTAGTGGCTAAATTATTCAAAAAATGTTGCTTTATACTTGAAAGTATTTATTTGTGGTTGTGAATTCTTTGATTTTTAATACTTAAACACTGTTTTTGAATAGTACATTTTCTGTTTAAAATATATTAATTCTTGTATAATTGTGCTCGGTGATTCTTTTATTGTATTTTAGGAAGAAATAAGGAATTTCAATTCATTTATCTAATAATCATTTATTTTCCTGATACTTCAGAATCTAGCTTCAATAGAGTATGGAATAAAAGATTCAATCAAGGCAAGATCACTTTAAGCTTAAAATAATAAGAAATATGATTAATAAATCATTGTAATAACAATTAAGATGATAAATTTTTAAGGATGTATATATTTTTTAAAATAATATGCATAAATCTTAAACGATTTATGCATATTATCATTTAAAGAAACCTCAAAATTGACCCTAATGTGTTCGAATCGCACAAAAATTTAATAGTACTAATTGTATAATTTTTAACATTAATACAAATTTCTTAGAATTTATTAAATTTTTTAAGAGGAAATCAATTTTTATTTTACATTTGCTTTCTTGTTTATACTTTGCTTAAATATCAAAATAAATACTTCATCTTAATCGAGTTTTTTCTCTTACAAATTATCATAAGGCTTCTAAAATAGTCGACCAACTTATAATTGAATGATTTTTTTTTTATAATTTGATATTTTAATGTTATTTTATATGAAGTTTCTAACTTTTATATTATCAATTAAATTACAGACTATCAGCATTCTCATCTCTAGTTTTGGCATGAATTTATTCTAATAAATAATTTGTAAAGTTTTTTAAATTAACCTATCTTCCTATGATATCCTCTCTCAAATCACTTGAAATAGAATTTGATTATTATTTTCTAATCTTTGAAAAAAAATCTCTTTCCATTGAGTAAATAAATAACACATTTGGGAAAAAATTATCCAAATTCCTTTATAAATTAAAAATATTAATATTGAACCTAAATTTTGAAGGCTTTATAAAAATCACTCAGTGTTAGGTTTCGAATAAACTAATTCACTTATTATTAGATTATTCTAATGGCTAACTAAATACAAAAATAAAAATCCTTGAAAACAGATCTTTTAATAATTTAAATTTAGTATATCATTAATTATAATGATAATGATGGAATGTAGTTAATTGTGCCAAAAAATAGTCATACAAACATCTTTGATCAATTCTTAAAATTTTTTTGAATGATTGTTCTCTTTCTTAGGATTTATTGATGTCTTGCATCCAATAACATAGATTGTATTAAGATGTATTTTCTCTTAGATTCTTATTGAAATACTATTATACATTATTTAATTCTTAGAATAATACTGAATTTTTTTTATTACGAATAAAATGTATGTTTTTTTTCAAAGTTCAATTATATTTGATAATATCATGTATCAGAACTATTAAAACACAATGTTAATTGCTGAAACTCATATAAGGTGATTTATTATCTTATTTTTTTCTTCACTATGAAATTTGAGCCACTATTATATTTATAAAATAAAAAGAAAAATGTGCATATAATTATTAGTTAATTAATATATAAGTCCTTTGCATCAAGGATGATCCAGCTGCTTTCTCAGTCTCTTAGGTTTTGCATTGTCATTTTTTATGAATTGTCTTCTCAAGAAATATTTTATTTTCCAGAACTAGAGAATTTATTATTAATTACAAACCTGAATGCAATTAGAAATAACTGCTTCATTTTTCTCATAATATTTGATAAAGACTATTTCATCAAAATCTCAAAATTACTTGAATATATATTATATTGTCTAAATGTAAATGAGATGTAAAGATTCCTAATTCTATTTTTTGTCTTGCAAAATTTAAAGAAGAATATTGGTGAACAGTAATTACAAGCGCCATATCCTCTATTATAATATAATTTTTTAAGGGAATATAAATAATCGATTGCTATCTTTTTTTAAAGTCATCTTGTTTTTATATATTAATTATTCTAAAATAAGGAAGAAAAGTTGTTCATTTGTAGTATTCCTTTAATAAGAATTATTCATTCAATAAAACTTTAAATTAGAAATAAAAATATTGTCATAATAATATTACAAGCAGAACCTATTTTCAATGTAGGTTAATTAAAAATGGGCATTGTAGAGATTGTGGGTTTAATTTCTCTTTAATAAATCAAGAAATTTAGAATAAAGAACATGAAAGCCAAATTTTTATTTTAATTGTCAATAATGTCATTAGTTATCCTTTATTCTAAAAGAATCTAGGCTATGCTGAATTATATGAAAAAAGGAAGTAAATTATAAATATCAATCTTAAATACTTTATTGAATGCTTAGAAATCACTGAAATTAAAATTAAGAAAAATAATTATTTATATAATTAAGTTAATAGTATTATGGATTAAACTAATTATATCTAATTAATGTGATTTTTTATTACTTTATGATATATCTAAACTAAATAAGGTAATCTTAATTATTTTAATCATACTCCTCATAAATTAATAGTACAATAATGACCCATTTTATATTTAGTAAGTCATCAGAGAGCTTAATAAGGATGATGCTTCAAAATGTTTTAATAGAGTTACTCACTTCAATTTATTTCAGCTGTTTTCACCTCAAATAATTTAAATACATATTCAAAACCAAATTACATATCTAAATCACTTAAAATCACAAAATTACATAACATAAACCTTGCTAAATAGATAAAAACGTAAAAAATGATAAATCAAAACGTTCCGTTTTCTTAACCTCAAATTACTCCTAAAAATCAATGTTGAATGTTCTTAGGTTATTACTATATTTTCTTTCTAAACTTCTTATCATTCTATATTAGATTATTCAGGCATTATTGTAAATTTTTATTTTTTCTATTTTTTTTATTATAATTGATATAAACTCATTTCAATTAATCTTCTTATTTTTATCTTATAGGATAACGAAATCATAATTTTACACCTTATATCATCAACATTATTCAATCTCAGATTTAGAAATTTTTATAGAGTTATTTAATTATTCAGTTTTTCTTGAAGCTTCCAAAAGTAATATATATTTCATTTTATAATTAATTATTCCATCTGGCTCATAGCTTCTTCAGATATAAAATAAGGCTTTATCAAATTATACCATCTATATTGCTTTATTTTTAAACTTATTATTAGCTTATCTTCACCTCCTAAATCAACTTATCATTTGATTATTTTGAAAAAGATTCCTTTTTTATTTCAATCAAATGTAATTATAATTCTTTAAGAAAAATTTCAATCTTACTTTCTGCTTTGTTTTTCTTTTTAACAAAAAATACTAGCTTAATAAAAATACAAATACAAATGTCTTAAGATAGTTCATTTTTATTATGTATTTTGACTAAAAAAAGTATTTTATTACAATCTACGAAAAGCCATATTTTTATAAGTGAATTTTAGTATATTTAAGAAACTATTAACAACAATAAATACTTTAAACCCCTTTTAATAAACATTGTTTAGGTTTCTTTTAAATAGAACTAATTCGTCAAGTTCGATGTTATTTTATTTTAAACTTTATCTAGATATTCTACTATTAATACTTTCAAAATCAAATTAATTTAATTCCTAATCATAATTTAGAGAACAAATAAAATTATCATAAAAAATTCAACCATAAAAACTAAGATAGAATAAAGCTAAGTAACCGTAAATTCACCTTCTTCGTTTGAATATATTACATATATACAGAAATCAATAAATTATTGTTCCTACTACTCAGTGATTTATAATTAATTAGATTTATGTTTTTTTTTATATCAAATTAATTATCCTTTGTTCTCATGATAAACTATAAAAAAAATATCAAATTGAAAATTCAAAGAGAAAGATTTTTGCTGAAACCAAATCAAATCTCATAAAATTATAAATTCCTCAATTTAATTTTATCAATTTTATAGCTTGAAATGATAAATAAAATTTTCATAAAAGGATTTTACAAAAATTATAGAGTTATGGAAATATTTATATTATTAAATATTATAATATTTATATAATCTATTTTATAATATAGTCCATTATACATAATTTAATAAATAAGGAATCCAAGGCAAAACTAATAAAAAAACCCAAAATATTAAACTATATTTAATAATTTTTAATTTATACTATTTAAAACAAATAAGAAAATAGTTATTTAAACATTAAAGAAGCCAAAAAATAATAAATTTAAAATTTTATAATAATTTTTCCCTATATAAATGTAAAAAATCATTCTCATCAGAACATGAGATATCCTAAAATGATTGTTGATAATCCAAGAATATATCCTGAATCGGTTGTTGTTTAATTATTTGTATTGTTTGTATTATTATCTGTATTATTTGGTTAAACAACAGGTGCAGTGCAAACTCCACATTTGCTTGTTGATGCATTCCAAGTATATGTATATCCAGAAACCAAGAAACAATCATTTGATGATAAAGTTGATGGATCTGTGGCTGTGCATGTTCCACTAACAAGAGTACAAACTTGTTAAGTCTTTCTATCCCAATTCAAGAATCTTGTACAAGCTCCATTTGTTGCTTAATTTGTAGCACAAGTATGAGTTGCACATTTACTAGCAACAGCAGTTGCACCAGTTCCTGATGCTGCAGTCCATGAACATCTATCTCTGGCTTATTAACAAGCTGTTTAATCATTATTAGCAGTTGTACATGCTGTCATTAATGCACAAGTTCCAGTACCAGCAACAGCTCCTGTAGCAGTTGATTAAGTAAATACACAAATACCATCTAATCCACCTGAATTACAAGCTGTTCTAGTTGTATAAGTTGAGCAATTAGCTTTTGGAATACAAGCAGTTCCATTAGAAACACATGATGACAAGGCTACTGAACAAACATTTGTTGCTGTACCATTTTGAATATCAGCACAAGCTAATAATCTACATTTAGCAGTGTTATTATTTGTAGCGGATCCAAGTTCCCAATAGCATACACCATCAGATCCAACAGCAGTTGTGCAGGCAGTTTAAGTTGCATATGATGAACATGCTCCTCTGAGTAAACAAGTTGTTCCATCAGATGTACATGTTGATAATTATGAAGAACATGCTGCATGGTTTGTTCCAGTCAAATCAGCACATGATTAATCTCTGCAACTATTAGCTGTTGCATCCCATGTACAAATTCCAGTTGAAGTGATGACTCCAGATGTATAAATAACACCTTTATCATTGAAAACGCATCCTGCTAATGAAGTATAAGATGAGCAAGCACCTAATGCAATACAACCAGTAGTTCCATTTGTAGTACATTTACTACTAGCAATTTAACAATCTGAATGAGTTGTATAAAAAGCATCACCACAAGATGTATATGGTTTACAAACCTTTGGATCCGCAGAATTCAAAGCCGGTACTGATTATATACAAGCTCCATCATATCCTGTAACACATCCACCATCAGTATTAGTTTCAGAACATAATGTAATACCAATACAATTAGATCCATTAGTTGTACATTATTTACTTAGCCATTTACATTATCTATCAGAATTCCAAGTCAAACTCTTGCATGAAGTATATCTAAAGCAAGCTCCAGTTGATCCATCAGAGTTAACAAAATCATTAACCCATAAACAAGGTCCATTTGTTCCTTCAATACATGCACTTCTTAATGTAGTTTGTTCGCAATTTTAAACTCTTGCACATTTTCCATTAGCTCCAGCAGTACATCCAGCTCTTTATCCTTAGCATGCAGCATGAGTAGTTCCACTGAAATCTTAGCAATCTTTATCTCTGCATCTATTTTATGCACTATCCCAAGCACAAATAGTTCCATTAAGAGCAGTTGTACAAGCAGCATCAATGGTAACAGCTGCACAAGTAGACTTAACAACACATCCACCTCCATTCTTTGTTGTGCAATTAGTGAAATAGGCTGCACAAGCTGCTTCTGAAGTTAAAGTATTTGGAGCTGTATTACATGTCTTTATTGTACAATATGCTTAATTATTGCCAACAGCTGGCATCCATTCACATTATTGATTTGTTACTGAAGTAACACAACCAGCTTAGCTCATTGCTTAGAAGCAAGTTCCTCTTGTGACACAATTTGTTCCATTAGTTGTACATGTACTTAACGCTTATCTACATAAAGCATCAGTGGCAAAAGCAAAATCTTCACAAACTTTTGTCTTACATTTTACTAATGCATCTAAAGTGCATCCAGATAAATAAGTATTACATTCCTCAGCAGAAACTGTTGCATCTGGAGCATTTTCACAAGTTCTAGTAATACAACCAGTACCATTCCAATAACATAATCTACCAGACTTATCACTAACACATTATTTTTCTACCATAGTTTCACATGTATCTGGTATATCTACACATCCTTATCCTGAATCTGCAACTGTACATTTATTATTGAAATAAGCTCTGCATTTATCATTATCATCGTAATCAGCAGTTGCAGGTGCAGTAGCACATGACTTATCTGCACATAATGTGCCATTCCATCCACAAGGATCTCCAGAAGCATTGAATCTGCATTATTCTGAATGTATATAAGTAGCACAGGCTGCTGTTTATTGACAACCTCCTAGAACTGGTGCACCACCATTAGCATCTGGTGTGGCAACTACTGTGCATCTAATAGTGTTGGTCGAAAAATAGGAATCACATTCAGAGTGTGTTACTGTTGCTGTTGGGGCAGTTGTGCATGATTTATCTTAACATGCAGGTTAGGATAAGTTTGTATTCCAAACACATAAACTTCCACTTGCATTAGTTTTGCATTAATCCTCAATTTGATAAGAACTGCAGGCTCCTCTAGTCATACAACCGGGGACAGCAGCTCCATTTGTAGCTCTAACTGTACAATTTGAATCAACTGTTTAGCATTTAGTATGATTATCATATGAAGATGTCTATTCAATGTTACCACAACTGAAATCAACACAATTCATATTTGTTGGATTCCAGAAACATCTTCCTCCACTTGTATTGAATTTACATTATTGATTTGATCTATATGTGGAACAAGCAGCTCTTGGTTAACAACCTCCTAATCTTGCAACTGTGCATGTAGATAGATATGTTTCACATAGAGTATTAGTAGTAAAGCTTGCAGCTGGTGAAGCTGTGTCACATGTTTTTCTAACACAAGATGTTCCTGAGACAACACATTCACCTTCAACTGCTCTAATGCATGATGCTTGACTCTAACTAGCACATGTTGCTGGCATTACTGCGCATGCATCTCCTGCTTAATTAACTGTACAAGTACTTAACCAAGTATTACAGGCTTAATGATTAAATGGTGTAGTTTTATTAGCACATGTCTTGGTTTAACATCCTGAATTGTCTTGTAGTGCTACACAACCTGTTTTCAATTCATTGCATATTATGCTATTAAAAGTAAATGATCCTAATTTTATTGCTTCACAAGTAGTTGTAGCTGTTATAGATTGACAAGTAGAATCGTTGCTATTAGCAGTACAAAATCCAGCAGTTGATCTATAGCAATTTGCCATTTATGTATATCCCGAACATTATGATTGTATTGTTATACAACCGGTTCCATCTCTCTTTACACTACAAGTAGCACTATAACCTTAACAAATACTCCAAGTGAGATTTGAGCCTGTTAATGTTTCACATGTACTAAATGCTAAGCATGCATTACCATTAATATTTGCAAAACAAGCAGAATTATATGCTTAACAGGTTGAATGAGTTGCACTTGATAATCCTGTAACAGTGGCGCAATTGGCTGCTGCTGCAATTGCTATACAAGCACCAGCATTACTATTAGCAGTAGCATCCCAAAAGCATTTAGTACCACCAGTTGTAGAAGAACAAGTAGGAGAAGTTGTATAACCACCGCAAGTTGTTTTTTATTCTTAACATGCATTTCCAGCAACATTAACAGTGCAAGCAGTGTTATATGCTTAACAGGTTGAATGAGTTGCACTTGATAATCCTGTAACAGTGGCGCAATTGGCTGCTGCTGCAATTGCTATACAAGCACCAGCATTACTATTAGCAGTAGCATCCCAAAAGCATTTAGTACCACCAGTTGTAGTAGAACAAGTAGGAGAAGTTGTATAACCACCGCAAGTTGTTTTTTATTCTTAACATGCATTTCCAGCAACATTAACAGTGCAAGCAGTGTTATATGCTTAACAGGTTGAATGAGTTGCACTTGATAATCCTGTAACAGTGGCGCAATTGGCTGCTGCTGCAATTGCTATACAAGCACCAGCATTACTATTAGCAGTAGCATCCCAAAAGCATTTAGTACCACCAGTTGTAGTAGAACAAGTAGGAGAAGTTGTATAACCACCGCAAGTTGTTTTTTATTCTTAACATGCATTTCCAGCAACATTAACAGTGCAAGCAGTGTTATATGCTTAACAGGTTGAATGAGTTGCACTTGATAATCCTGTAACAGTGGCGCAATTGGCTGCTGCTGCAATTGCTATACAAGCACCAGCATTACTATTAGCAGTAGCATCCCAAAAGCATTTAGTACCATCAGTTGTAGTAGTACAAGTAGGAGCAGTTGTATAACCACCGCAAGTTGTTTTTTATTCTTAACATGCATTTCCAGCAACATTAACAGTGCAAGCAGTGTTATATGCTTAACAGGTTGAATGAGTTGCACTTGATAATCCTGTAACAGTGGCGCAATTGGCTGCTGCTGCAATTGCTATACAAGCACCAGCATTACTATTAGCAGTAGCATCCCAAAAGCATTTAGTACCATCAGTTATAGTAATACAAGTAGGAGCAGTTGTATAACCACCGCAAGTTGTTTTTTATTCTTAACATGCATTTCCAGCAACATTAACAGTGCAAGCAGTGTTATATGCTTAACAGGTTGAATGAGTTGCACTTGATAATCCTGTAACAGTGGCGCAATTGGCTGCTGCTGCAATTGCTATACAAGCACCAGCATTACTATTAGCAGTAGCATCCCAAAAGCATTTAGTACCATCAGTTGTAGTATTACAATTAAGTTAGCTACCATAACCACCACAAGTTGCTTAAAATTATTAACATGCAGTTCCACCATCATTAACAGTACAAGCAGTGTTATATGCTTAACAGGTTGAATGAGTTGCACTTGATAATCCTGTAACAGTGGCGCAATTGGCTGCTGCTGCAATTGCTATACAAGCACCAGCATTACTATTAGCAGTAGCATCCCAAAAGCATTTAGTACCACCAGTTGTAGTAGTACAAGTAGGATCAGTTGTATAACCACCACAAGTTGTTTATAATGTAACACAGGCTGTTCCGTCAGAATTACCAGTGCAAGTAGTATTCTTTAATTAACAAGCTGCATGATCAAGCCCAGACGCTGCAGTTATTACAGCACAAGAAAATGTGCAAGCATCTGATTCTGTAGCACTTGCTGAGTTGGTACAACCTTCTCTAATAGATTAACATTAAACTTGTGTGCCTGTAAAGGTTGAGCATGCACCTTGAAGTTATGTATTAGAGAAGCACTTGCTATAAGTTGAATTCCAAGTACAATCATCAGTATTGGAGTTTTAAGTTCTATAACATTAAGTTGATGACACATAATCACTACAATTAGCTGATTTTGCCACACAGCCAATTCTCCCAGTTTTGTATAAAACAGTGCAGGTTTCAGTAGGTGCATGATAACCTTAACACTCTGAATCATCGTCAAAATCAACACTATCTAATGTATCAGCACAAGTTGCATTTCTACAAGCTGTTCCAGTCCATATGCAATTTTTTCGACTGGAAGTTATTTTACAATTTTCAGCTGATCCATACGAAGTACAAGCAGTAGCTAATGTTTAACATCCTGTTCCAGCATTATTCACTGTGCATGTATTCAATACTTAACAACCAGAGTGGGTAGTTGATTGGATATTTGTGCATGTTCTATCAACACATGCATTTGTATTAGTATTGAAATAACAATCTCCGTTTGCTTTAGAACCAACTCCACAATTGGTTGAAACCAAAGAATTACAACTAGATGGCTTTGGAATGCAACCGTCTCCTGTATTATTGGTGATACAACCAGTTAAATAAGTAGAACAATTAGAAAAATTTGTCAAGAATCCTGAAGTTGTTGTAATACTTGCAGTGGAACAAGATTTTTCAACACATGCAGATGTAGCAGTATTCCATAAACATGTTGGCGATCCAGGTCTTTCACAATTTTCAATTGATCTTCTAGCAGCACAAGTTGTAGGTAAATCTTAGCATCCTGAAATTGTTCCATTAACTGGATTATTGGCAACACAACCTGATTTGTAAATGTTGCATTCAGTTGTTGTTGATGATGTTCTAGGAGCAGTAGAACAAGCTTTATCAATACACTATGAACCATTCCAACCACATTCTAGGTATGATCTAACACCATTTGTGACTTATAATCTAAAAACACATGCAGATTCAATTGTAATGGCTTCACATCTAAGAGGTATAGGGACACATCCAGTACCAGTATTACTTAATGTACAACTAGAATCATAAGTTTAACAATCTGTGTGAGTTGCTGTGGTTGATGAAGCTAATACACATTCTTTTTTGTAACATTTTCCTTTCCAAATGCAGGCTTTGTTATTCAAATCTTTATCACAAATAGTTTATGCCAACGAATTTTCACAGGTTTTCTCTACACAACCATTATTTGTTGAATTTACGGTACAAGTTGATAAAAATTATACACATGAATCATGTGTATTATTAGTTGATGGTGCATTTGTACAAATCTTATCTTTGCAGCCTGAACCATCTGGATCCCAGAAACAAGTAGCTCCAGAGGAATTCTTGATGCAAGCATTAATAAAAGTGATTGCAGCGCATGTAGTATTTGTTACACATCCACCTCCAGTCTTTGTTATACAGTTATTATTTGGTAAATATGCTTCACATGCATCATTAGTTGTTAATGTTGTTGGAGCATTAGCACAAGTTCTAGGTTAACATCCACCTCCTGTTCTAACAGTACATGTAGATAAGTATGATGTACACAATTCATGAGTATTATTAGTTGTTGGTGCATTAGCACAAGTCTTTTCTTTGCATGTTGTATCCCAAATACAATCAGTTCCTGAAGAGTTTTTAACACAAGCTGCTAAGACATTTGCAGCTGAACAAGCTCCATTGGATACACAACCTCCACCTGATTTAGTAATACATCCTGTTACAAATCCAGCACAAGCAGAATTAGTTGTCATAGTAGTTGGTGCATTTGTACAAATCTTATCAACACAAGCAGTTCCAGTCCAATAACAATCACCACCTGAACTATTCTTAATACAAGCAGCTGAGATAGTTGCAGCTGCACAAGTAGTTCTAGTAATACATCCTCCATTAGGTTTAGTTGTACATGTTCCATCAGTTCTAAAGGTTTTACATGTTTCATCAGTTGTTAATGTTGTTGGTGCATTATCACAAATTCTATCTTTACATGCTGCTCCATCCCAATAACATGCCATTGATCTTAATTTATTCCAAACACATTGAATTTCTAATGTTTAATCACTACAATTATTTCCACTATCAACACATCCACCTCCAGTCTTTGTAGTACAAGTTGATATTTCATCTCTGCATTCTTTATCTGTAACAAATGTAATTGGTAATCTATCGCAATTATTAGCATCTACACAAGTATTATTTGTTGTATCCCAAAAACACAATCTTCCTGATGCATTTTTCAAACAAGGAAGTGATTTCTTGTAGGTACTACAAGCATCAACTTCAACACAATGAGTTCCATCTGTAATACATCTATTACTAATTGCTTAACATTCAGGATCAGTTGTTTTTGCAAAGGCTGTGCATCCTGTGAAATGTGTGCATTTGCTGTCAACCCAGGCACAGGCAGCATAGTTACCACAATCTGTACAAGGTTTAGCTTTAGGGCAATCTGCTTCTGCAAAAGAATCGCAATATGCTGCAAACGTCACTATTGGAGTGACAGGAGTAGTAGAAACAGCACATGTTTTCTTTGTACTATCCCAAGAACATCCAAGTGTGGTATTTTTTAAACAATCTGCTTCTGATAACAACTAGACACATGTGCATGATGTTATACTGTAAGTTTGACATGTTGCTAAGGCAAGCAACAATGCAAATATGATGAATTATTTATTCATTAAAAGTATTATTTGTCATTTCATATAAAATTCCAGTTAAATTAATCAAAAAAAATTTAATAATTTTCATAATTTTAATACATCACATTTTTTATTTAAAATTAGAACCAAAATTTAATAATTGAGTTAATTGGCATCATTAATATTAATATTATAATTCATAGAGGAGGAGAGATCTTGTAAGTGAGAAAGAGAAATATCAATATATTCAATAGAGAGCTAGTACTTAAATTACTGATAAGGAAATATAAAGAATCATCTCTAAAATACTCAAAATTAAAAAAAGTAATAAATTTTGCAAACAGCAACCTCAAAAAAAAGTCACTTTACTCTTGAGAATATTGTTCTTATGATATTTTCTTGCCGCAATATTTACAAATATAGCGTTAGAATTTAAAGTAAGAAGGAAAGAGAAACAATATTTAAAAAATTCAATACTTAATAAAGAGAATGAGACAAAACTCTCAAGCTGCACATTATTCTTTAATGATGAAGAACATAATCATTTTTAGATTTTTAATACCCTAATTACCATACTCAATCAAAATAGAGGTTTACTAACATACCTTTGAATATATATTATAACTAAAAAGGCAACCAATAATTTTCCATTAAATTTTCATATAAGTTAATCAAAATATGACCTAGACTTGCCTGATTGATCCTTCTTAAAAAATAGGTTTCGATTCTATTTGAAGCTTACAGAATCAATACTTTTTTGAATCATTTTGAAAGCACCTTAATGATTTAAAAATCTAGAATATTCTTAAAATTCCACTTTTTTTTGAACAATTAATACAAAATTCTGGTCTCAAAACTGAGTAAAATCTTTACCTTTAAGATATCTATTTGTGTCGAAAACCATGGGAACGAAGAAATTCGGTGTCTTCCATTATTGATATAGTTTAAAAATAATATTTTGAATTTCATTGCCAAAGGATGAAATTTTTAATTAGATTCTGTTTTTATATCACTAAAGAAGAAAGGATTTTTGTTGTGATTGTAAATCTTCGAGCACTTATTTACTTTTTCTCAATTGTACATTTTCCATAAAAAATAAAGTTATTCTTGTATATGAGTACAGAAGTAAGTAGATATTTTAATATTAATGTGATATAAGTATATTAGATGTTTTTGTATTCTTTTTCTTTCTTTAAAATAAAATTTTGAACCTTGATTCTATAAGATTTCATGAATTCATTAGTCGATTGATTTACTCATAAAGTAAGAGAGATTATAGTTGTTTATTTTTTATAAACCAATAAAAAATACAAAAACTTAAATCGACTCTTTTATTTGTATTTTAGGAGGAAAAAAGGAATTCAATTAATACAAATAATAATTATTTCTTTTCCCTGATACTCCAAAATCAAGCTTCAATATTATATATAATAGCAGTTTCAATTAAGAATTGATGTCTTTAAGCTGGTAATAATAAGAAATATAATTAATATATCATAGGACTAACAATTTGGTGAATAAAAATTCTTGAATAAGCAAAACCCTCAGGAAAATAAATTTAGAAGAAATAAAGCTTTTCAGTCTTTCTTGTTTTATCTTGGGTTATTTTAATAAGGAAAATAGGTTATAAAAAGAAGTCTGCTTACTCTCTCAAAATGAAACCTTCGACAATTGAATCTAATTTGTTCGATTTGCACCCAAATTTAATTAATATAATTGAAATAGGGGGTATAATTTTGTGTTTGATTTTAATTTATAATTATTTATCACTAATACCAGAGTTTTTAGAATTGTAAAATAGTGATAGGAAACCATTATAGATTAGTTTTGCCTTTTTATTTATGCAATGATTGATTATCAAAGGAAGTTTTTCTTATTCTTCCAATTTATCATAAACCCTAATTTATAAATCGATGCAATTATAATTGTAAGATTCTTCTTTTAGAATTTGATTTCTTCTTTTGCAAAATAATTTAAACTTATATGAAATTTTCTAACATCTATTTTATCAATTAAATGTTAAAACTATCAGAATTCTCATCTCTAGGTTTCTCATTAATAATTTTCAATAAATAATTTGTTTAGTTTTAAAAAATACCTCTTTGGGTTGAGTAAATAAAAAATAGAACCTTAATTTTTTTCAGTCTTAATTAAAATAACTCAGAATTAGCATTCGGAATAAATTAATTCAAAAACTGTTAGATTATTCAAATAATAAAATAAATTACAAAAAATTAGCGGCTATGAACATATATTTTTTATTATTTATTTTTGATTTATCATGTTTCAGAGCAATAAAAAAAAATGTTAATTGTGATACATTATCTTATTTCTTTCTTCACTTTGAAATTTGAGCCACTATTATATTTATAAAATAAAAAGAAAATTGTGTATATAATTAGTCATTAATTTATTTTTCCTTTGCGTCAAGGATGATCCAGCTGCTTTCTCAGTCTATTAGGTTTTTTATTTTCATTTTTTATGAATTGTCTTCTCAAGAAAATAAATATCTCAGATTTTTATTTTCCAGAAACAAGAGAAAGAGTTTCAGTTAAGTTTTCTTATTAGTAATTGGAAATCCTTATTTAATTAGAAATAATTGCTTCATTTTTCTCATAATATTCGACAAAGACTATTTCATCAAAATCTCAAAATTAGTTGAGTATTTATTATATTGTCTAAATGTAAATGAGATGTAAAGATTCCTAATTCGATTTCTATCTTTGTTTAAAGTCATCTTGTTTTTATATTTTAATTATTCTAAAATAAGGAAGAAAAGTTGTTCTTTTGTAGTATTCCTTTAATAAGAAATTATTCATTCAATACAACTTTAAATTAGAAATAAAAAATTGTCATAATAATATTACAAGCAGAACCTATTTTCAATGTAGGCTAATTGAAAATGGGCATTGTAGAGATTGTGGGTTTAATTTCTCTTTAATCAATCAAGAAATTTAGAATAAGGAACATGAAAGCCAAATTTTAATTTTAATTATCAATAATGTCATTAGTTATCCTTTATTCTAAAAGAATCTAGGCTGAATTATATTAGAAATAGAAGTATATTATAGATATCAATCTTAAATACTTTATTCAATGATTAGAAATCACTGAAATTAAAAATAAGAAAAATAATTATTTATATAATTAAATTAATTGTATTATGGATTAAACTAATTATATCTAATTAATGTGATTTTTTATTAATTTATGATATATCTAAACTAAATAAGTTAATCTTAATTATTTTAATCATACTCCTCATAAATTAATAGTACAATAATGACCCATTTTATATTTAGTAAATCATCAGAGAGCTTAATAAGGATGATGCTTCAAAATGTTTTAATAGAGTTACTCACTTCAATTTATTTCAGCTGTTTTCACCTCAAATAATTTAAATACATATTCAAAACCAAATTACATATCTAAATCACTTAAAATCACAAAATTACATAACATAAACCTTGCTAAATAGATAAAAACGTAAAAAATGATAAATCAAAACCTTCCTTTTTCTTAACCTCAAATTACTCCTAAAAATCAATGTTGAATGTTCTTAGGTTAGTACTATATTTTCTTTCTAAACTTCTTATCATTCTATATTAGATTATTCAGGCATTATTGTATATTTTTATTTTTTCTATTTTTTTTTTTTATTTGATATTAACTCATTACAATTAATCTTCTTATTTTTATCTTATTGGATAACGAAATCATAATTTTACACTTTATATCATCAACATTATTCAATCTCATATTTAGGAATTTTTATAGAGTTGTTTAATTATTCAGTTTTTCTTGAAGCTTCCGAAAGTAATATATATTTCATTTTATAATTAATTATTTTCTTCTGGCTCATAGGTGCATCAGATATAAAATAAGGCTTTATCAAATTATACCACCTATATTGCTTTATTTTTAAACTTATTTTTAAACTTATTATTAGCTTATCTTCAACTCCTAAATCAACTTATCATTCTATTATTTTGAAAAAGGTTCCTTTTTTATTTAAATCAAATGTAATTATAATTCTTTAAGAAAAATTTCAATCTTACTTTTTGCTTTGTTTTTCTTTTTTAAAAAAAAAATACTAGCTTAATAAAAATAAAATACAAATGTCTTTAGATAGTTCATTTTTATTATGTATTTTGACTAAAAAAAGTATTTTATTGCAATCTACGAAAAGCCATATTTTTATAAGTGAATTTTAGTATATTTAAGAAACTATTAACAACAATAAATACTTTAAATCCCTTCTAATAAAAATTGAATAGGTTTCTTCTAAATAGAACTAATTCGTCAAGTTCGATGTTATTTTATTTTAAACTTTATCTAGATATTCTACTATTATTACTTTCAAAATCAAATTAATTTAATTCCTAATCATAATTTAGAGAACAAATAAAATTATCACCTAAAATTCAACCATAAAAACTTATATAGAATAAAGCTAAGCAATCATAATTTCAACTTCTTTGTTTGAATATATTACATATATACAGAAATCAATAAATTATTGTTCCTACTACTCAGTGATTTATAATTAATTAGATTTATATTTTGTGTAATATCAAATCAATTATCCTTGGTTCTCATGATAAACTTTCAAAATAAATATCATTTGAAAATTTCAAAGAGAATGATTTTGGCTGAAATCAAATCAAATCTCTCAAAAATTATAAATTCCTCAATTTAATTTTATCAATTTATAGCTTGAAATGATAAATAAAATTTTCATAAAAGGATTCTAGAAAAATCATAGAGTTATGAAAATATTTAAATTATATAAAATTTTTATAATCTATTTTATAATATAGTCCATTATACATAATTTAATAAATAAGGAATCCAAGGCAAAACTAATAAAAAAACCCAAAATATTAAACTATATTTAATAATTTTTAATTTATACTATTTAAAACAAATAAGAAAATAGTTATTTAAACATTTAAGGAGCCAAAAAAAAATAAAAAATTTCTTATTTATTATAATTTTTTTCAACATAGATGAAAAATCATTCTCATCAGAAAATGAGA